ACACACCCTTTCAGCGTGCAGGATGATTGACAGGTCATTAAGACTCACTGTAGCTGCAAGGCAAGCTTAGATGAAGTTTACAAATAAAGGATATAAGCAGACAAAGGTATAAAAGGGTTAATCTGTTCTTTCTCTGCCTTACTGGTACTAGAGCCTGCAGCACAGCAGGTAGAAGGTGTGTTGAATGTTGAACTCAAAAACCATGTCAATCCCAAAGATGGCACAGTGACTACAGTATGACGACATGTGATACCCATGAACTATGATTATTGTAAAGCTCACTCTGGACTTCTTTTGTCATAAATTAAGGATTTCTTTTTTTTTGCAGTGTCACTCATTGCCATCAATGAAACTGGCTTTTTTGCTGCATGACTTTCTTCTCTTGAATCAGTCTTTCACTTTCACTGTGCACACGTGTTTGACACCGTAATTATAGTGCCAGTTGCACTCCCCTCCCATTGTGATCTTATCACAGATTGTGATTTCTTAAGCCTGCAAATAGATCACAAGAGAAGTTGCACAGGTCCACTGTTAAGTCAGTCCATTTGAATGATTGCATATTGAACTGAGATATGCTTGCAGATTGTGATGTTGTTTTTTCCAAACATGCCAAAACAAAAGCTTTCCTACCAAAACGTTGGGCCCATAAATATTGATTTGGCAGCTTCTGTGGTATTGCTTCAACTTCATCATGTTTCTCATGACATCATTTCTCTGTTTCACAACACCCCCTCTCCTGCTGAGCTCTTTACCCATATTAGATTGTTTCTGGTAGACACAAAGTGAACTGCTTCCTTGTGAACTCACCGTGTGCAGCACATGCAGTAATTGTGTCAGATGGCACTGCTTTGATCATATTTTAGTGTTTTGCTATTCATTGAGTGTCTTCACAAGCCAATTAATACCTCCCCCTCCTGCAGTAGCTTATGTTGCAGAACAGGTCCCACCAGCTTTACACTATCTTTTACATTCAGTTGGTAAAGGGGGCTTAGATACTAGCACTTCAAGTAACACTCTCCAAACAAGCGTGGCATAAATGTGAAGCAGGATTTTTTACGCCTTTCTGGTTACTTTTCGTCGGTACAGGTTTCATGATTGTACATGTGGCTGCGAACAGGAATGATCTGCTCTCACGCAACTAATCTGGACATGACTTGAATAACTAAAAAGGTGTTTGAGTTAACTCTAAATACCAGATTGTTAATCTTCTGCAAATTAAACGTGATGATTCACTCTCTGCTCAATGTGTGCCGCTCATATCTTCTTCTTAATTACTTTGTGGTTTCTCCCCCCTGGAACGGACCTGGACGAGTCTCTGCCTGTTTTTCAAGTATGTATTTCATCTGCTGCCTTCGTGCTGGAAATGATTATCAGAGTCTCTTTGGAAGTCAGCGACAGGAGGCGTGGTGCATTTGACAGCCACAGAAACTTGGCATATCAACAGTGTAAACATTGTTTTTTGTTAACACCGAATGACAAATGGAGGTGGACCAGGAAACTTGAAAAGGTCAAAGGTCCTTTTGCCAAGATTTCAAAGCCTACCCAGTGAAAGATGAATATTAAAATGTTTTTTTTTCTTCTGGTAAATCAAAGTAGCTTCAACAAACCCACATTTCAAGATAATACAATGTCATATCCAAGTGAGCCAAAGCTTTGATATCTGGCTATCTGCAAGGTTGCAGAACAGCACAGTGCACATATTGACATGTCTCAGCTTGCTTTTGGTCTAAAGTGCTCTTGCAAAACAGAACCCAATCCTCAACATTCTGTTAAATAAAATATTTTATACATGATTATCTTAGCCAGTAACATGTTTTTTTTTGTTTGTTAGTTTTTTTTTTTTTTTTTTTTTTTGATGAATCACTGGAAAGACAAAGATTTTTGGGATCAACTAAAGATTTCAAAAAATGGCTGAGATTGTATTTTTCCATTTGATTAAAAGGAAAACACTTGCTAGTGATTGTTTAAGATAAACTGTTAATGGGTGATAAGAAAAATGTGTTTTTAAATTGGAGAAGGAAAAAGTGATATCAGCCTTTGAGGGCTGATGCAGATTTGTTGCTGATTACGTCAAAATGTCAGCTATCAATCAGCCTGTTTAGTCAATCGCTCTGTCTCTGCTCTAAATGTCAGATCAAATAGATCCACAGTAAAAGGTTCTGCATTTTTCACCTCTACCTGTTGAGACTGTGGGAAATACACAAGTTTCAGTCTCAAGCTGGCAGGAGAGCCGATGAGAGCATCTCCAAGTTATCGTTTTCTACAAAGTGATGCAGCAAATATCAACAGCAAAACTAGGAAGACAGTGAGCATCCAAACTTATAATGTCCAAATTTGTGATTTGTTAGTAATTCTGTTACATGCCGAAATTTCAACATTGTCATGAGTGCACCAAAAAGCAGAGTGTAGACAGTTTGATTGATTTACACCTGTAGTATTATTCATGTTTATGTTGTTTTTCAGTGAAATGTTCCAGATAAAAAAAAAAAAAAAGTTTTTTTTGACCTGTAATGAGCAGAAACAATCTGTGATTGATCATTTTGCATTTTGGTCTAAACTGAAAGGAGACAAAGATTTTCCACTGTCATTTGCTTTAAAATGAAAATGGTTCAAAAAGAAGCTCCTGAAACTAGTTCAACTTCACTGGTGTAGTTTATGACACATAAATGACACACCACATTTGTCACTTTTGAAAAGACTCAACTGAGCTTGACGTTATTTCCTGTTTTCTGAGGAAGACTCCCGTCACCAGGTGTCATGAAGAGCCGTTAAACACATGAAGTAAATCTGTGCAATCATTTCCAAATAAGCTCCTACAACTTGGAATCATCATGAATCACAGACGGCTACGTGATTTTGAATTGGTGTGCGCTTGTGTGTTTGTGCATGTGGGTGTGCATGTGCTCAGACCCTCAAGTGGCAGATGGATCAGGAGCACAGAAAGAAAGTTGTGTATTTGGATGACAGATGGGAAAGCTGATCTAAGGAAGCTATCAGCTGAAAAGAAGCTGAAAGATATCACACAGCGCTGTCCAGTGGCCATCTGCAGTACTGCACCAGCACAAACAAGCACCAGGAGAGACAAATGAAGGTAAAACATACTCAACAAAGTGGCTGAGCTAAAAAAAATATCCCCTTAAAATATATCTTTTACATGCAAGATGCCTATAAAACATAGAGGAGTGCCTCACTGCTGGATTAACCATTTGTGCTTAAACAAATAAAATAATTGTTATTCCATACTTCCATTACAAACTGTTCACTGCAGATTATCATGAGCACAAACTCATTATCTATGATCATACCATAGAAGGTGAAGGCCTCTCTGTATCATGCCTTAAAAAGCAGTTCTGACTTTATCTCTCTCTTCAGTTACACAGAAAAAGTGGAGTCTGTATTTCTCCCATTAAAAAAATGATTTTTTTTTTTTAATTTTCAACACATCACCAACACATTTTGGAGCTCTACTCTCTCATATTTGGCCTCATGCAAAAAACATTTCTGCTTTCCACGGTGTTTCAAATCAGAGTCACTTTAGACTTCTGAGTGGTTTCTTTAAAGTTAATATTTTTGCAGCCAGCTGATATATCTCACCTGTTCATGAGGAAAAGAACATTAGTGAAATTTGATATTAGCATAAAACTGGACAGAAGGCTGCCTGTAGTAAGGAAAAGCTGCAGTCAGTGCTGAATGGTGATTCAACAAGCAGATGTTCAAACCCTGCCGTTTCTTCACGTTATTGAGTTACATACTGTATGTTGATGCACAGCTGTTATTCACTGTATATTCTCTGTGATGTTCTCATTGTAAAGCAGCCAGAGTGATGCAATGCCAAGGTAAGACTGGCCTGAGTGATAAAGGAATCCATGCTGCCCTCCACTGGACTTCAGTTCACTCTCAGGTGAGCAAAAAGTTTTAAAAACAGCACTGAAAAAATGAAACTGATTTTGTCATGTCTTTTTAATTGAATGCTTACTTGTTTATTTGGTTCACAGATACTCATTAAACAACATATTTCTGTTATTAGTGTTTTTTTTTTTCCAGACTACAACTCTCAATGCTTGTTTCTGTTGTTGAGAAGAGAGCTCACCTTTGTGTCCGCTCTGTAAATCATGTCAGTATCAGATTATTCAGGAATATAATACACTGTTAAGTGGTCTTTAAGCACCCTGACAATAATTCATGAGGACGAACAAAAGATGGTGTCAAAGCTCTGACTAACCTCATTACATGTTCAGACAGTGCAAGTCGATACCCTCTCTGTGTTGATTCTGTCACTGCCAAAACTTGATTTCACCCAGACGGCTTAAAGGGTCACTGGCATCAATGAAATAAACATGTTTCAAAGACAGGGGAAGTGAAGGCTGGGATTTTAAAAAAGTGCTTTGTTTTAACTCTAATAACTTCTAAAATAGAACCAAATTTATATATCATGTTTCATACACAGGGCAAAACTACGTGCTTCATAATTACAACATATAAAAGTACCAACTACAGGAAAAATCTCATCTACAAAATACAGAGTTGGATATTTTGCTCAGTGTTGGGGCATCTCTGAAGTCCCCAGGTAAGGAGTTCAGTCAACATAAATGCCAAATGTTTGATACTATTCTATCAGACAGTTCTTGAGAGTCTAATCAGGTAAAGTATCACAGTTTTAAAAAATAATAATAATGTTAACTCTTCTACTTGATTCCCACTGCATGGAAAATCATTAGTGTTAAAGAGCTGCTATCTATGCAGACTATTTGCAAACAAGCTTCTCTGGAACAAGCCAGTGATCCGTCTCATGTTCTGCAGACAGAGTTTGAGCTGCTGCCCTTTTGGCAGGACGTCTAGAGTTCCCCGTCGCAGACGTGACAAATTCAAATATTAATTTATTCCTGCATCTATTAACTTTGAAATGAGGGTAAGGTAAAGCCAAAAATCTAGAGTTGATGCTTTGCATTTTCTGCACTGATATTGGTAACAATATAATGTTCTGTATTTTTTTTTTAATATTTCTGAGTTGCTGATTGGCATTGATTGATTTGTGCAGATATGGACCTTAAATTAGTTTAGCTGTACACTCTGCATGGTATCATGATAAGTATTGCATACAAATTGTTTTTTAATTGTTTCATGTTAAAAGTTGCATGTTGTATGTTGTTTTATGGCTGCAGCGTGGGTGGAAAGGCAAACACAAACATCAGACAATGAAGCTGTTTTTATCTTCTGTAAATGCTAGAAGCAGTCTCCTCTGCTTTGAAGTTGTTCATGGGATGGTCAGGAGACCCTTGCCCGTAGACCTCTGAGTTTTATTTGATGTGCAGCTGGTTAGCACGTCTTCTTTATTTTTAGGATCAAAGCCATTTGATCCCGGGAAGCTGGTGAATGGACCATTGAAGTAGTCTAGTCAACTTGATATAAAAAGATTTATTTATTTTTCAGTATCTGGTTATGAAAGGAGGTTTTGCGATGTTTTTATGGTGATAAAAGGATTAACTGATTGGAGCTTTTGAAGTTTAATTAAATTTTTTGCTTTATTTGAGCCAGCCAAGGAATTGTGCTTCTGAATATTACATGGAAGTGGAAACATATACAAATAAAACCATAGTGGCCCAATTTTTGAGCCTTGAGGAACACCACACAGGAAACCCACTTTATTCAGGTCATAAGCAGAAAAGGGAGGGTTTGAATGGTGCGCTGGTTTATCTCAGCAGTTTAAGCCTCTGTTTACAGAAGCTATTTTTGCTTGTATTTGTTCAGGACAGCCTGAGTGAATGAAGGGAAACATGAGGAGATAAAGAGGGATTGACATACACCAAACCATGTCGTGTTGACCCCTGTGTTGGTCCCATAACCTTTGTGACTGTAGCCTTCAAAATTTGGATACTTGCTCTATCAACTGAGCTAAACCACAGCCTTACAGAGGAGCTCTACATGTTTTGGCCTCACTTCTGGGGAGCGGTTATATTATCCATTTTTTGTTTTTTGACCATCTGTGTGCGATGGCTCAGAAAGGATTAACCCTGAGGAGAGGACACTGAGGACCCTGATGAAAGCGTTAGGACAATCTACAAACACAGACAGCAAGAAACCATCATTCAGGGTAGAAATATGAGAAAAGGACAGTTACCTTTTAACAAAAGAAAAAAAGAGTACCATCACAAATTGTTCTTAAGACACTGACTGATCAGTGGAGGATCCTTTGGCCCCCACAGCAGTGAATCAAAGTCCTCTTCACCATCCTTGTCCTTCTTCACCTCTTCCTCTTCTCTACTTCTCTTCTTTTCTGACTTGGCCAGCTGACCTGTCAGCTTGTGAAGCTCCCGTTTGATCACTTTAATATCTAGTTCATGTTGTGAGGCCTTCAGGGTGGCTGTGTTAAATGGAAACGTGCGTATGAAGTCTCCAACTCTGAGTGGGGGGACATGTTTGTTTAGTGCTGTGTTACCATCAAAAGAAATCCCCTTGGTCCTGTTGGTCCTTCTGTGAAACAACAAAAACACAGTTATTGTTGGAAAAAAAACATAGCCAGTTTCACTATTCAAACCAAATCAAACAATGTTTTTACCAACATTTAATTGGAGTGGTATTTACCCTTTAACGTCTCGGAGCTTCCAGGGTGCAGCAGAACATCGGAATCCCAGCTCCCTCTTTGGGATTTCATGTATTATAGAGGAAAAGTCTGTCTCTGCTGAGAGCTCATTCTCAGCTTCTGTTTCAGGTTCTTCACAGTTTGTAACCTCAGACTGGCAAAGACTTCCGTTGACCCTCGTCCAGGGTGCAGGAGCTGGACCCGTCTGTCTGTTTACCACCGACTTGTTTGTCCTTGAATGTGGGCCAAGTGTCAGGTTTATGGTCTTGTCGGTGTGTGGTTCGGTAATTATCCTGCCTTTGGCTTCTTGTATCTTGTTTAAGGCAACAGGGGGAAGTTGTCTTTGATTGTTAGCCAAGAAAGAACTCTTCACGGAGTGTCTTTGGTTTATCTTTTGAATATGGCCTGTCATTTTGAGCATAGGAAGTGTCTGGGTATGAATAAACTGGCTTTTCTTCCTTTCCTTTTTAAACTTGGTTTCCTTAAACTTTGGGAGCACAGGCATTAAAGCATCTGGTGAGTGGTTAGCATGAAAACAAGACTTCTTGTGTGCTTCCCTTTGAAAAGCCTTCACTCTTAAGCTGTCAACTAATGTATAACTCATTAAATCAATCATATCACCAATCAGTCTTTTCTTCACTGTGATATCTGCCTGGCAGTCCAGAGTCAACGCTGGGCTGTAGTTGACTTCCAGCAGCCATGGTTTGAAATTTACGTCAAGGAGGATATCAAAACCGAAGAGCTCCACACAGTTTGGACAGGAAGGTACAGATGAAGCGATTGTGAGCAGGGTCAGAATCACAATGTTGTTGATCCTCTGCCATAAGAGATTCTCGTTGATGTCTTGGCTGTGGAGAAAGTGCCTGAACTTGCTCATCGTCCACTTGCATCCTTGGCCCACTCTCTCTTTCTGGGTCTTATAGAACGGACCAAACTTGTTGATGCTGGTGTTGGTGAGATGAGCGTACAGGTTCTTCAGAGAAGAAAGGTTGTACTTCTCAGTGGCGAATCGCACCAATCCTTCTTGATGGATGTAAACAGTTAGCGGGTGAAAAGTCTTCACACATACGTAGATCCTCAAGTCAAACTTGTAGCCGGAGATCAGCAAAGGGTCACTGATGTACCTCTGAACAATTACAGAGCTGTCGTAGACCAGGTCCTTGATGTCCTCAAAGATAAAGATCCCTCTGCCTCTGGAGAGATCCACGGGTTTACAAATCCAGTACACAGATGCTCCTCTGGTCAGACGCAGTTTGTTATACTCAGGCAGGAATCGGGTGTAGTCATTAGGGAGGATGAAGGCGGTGGGACTGAAGTCATAAAGCGATGAACCTAATGTGGCTCTCATCCTCCTCAGGTTGCGTGCCAAAAAATCCTTAAAGTCAATCACAAGTAATCGTTTCAGGGTGTTATCATACAACCTGGTGCAAAAAAAATAAAATACTTTTCTTACCAGAACAGCTCTTTTTTTTTTACCCACACTCTACAGGCAGTGATTTCTTTAATAATGCAGTAAGTTTGAAGATATCAAGGTTACCAACTTTGCATAATTACGGGCTCAGCTCACTCAGTTGACACACAGGCACACTGTAGCTGCCTTAACTCCAACTTTTTGCCTCTTGTTAGGTCAACCAAATGTTAAGTTGATTAATTATGGCCACTTTGGTGACCACCATCATTGGGCTTCAAAACTACTCTTTGATAGCCAATGGCTGATCATCAACCCTTTTCTATTTTGGAAGATTGAACTGACCTCCCAATAAAAATCACAGACCTGTAGAGTTCTCTGAATACACATGCCCTACTGAACGTAAACATCAAGTCTTTGACACACTCACCTTGCGTGTGATGCCAGTCGTCTTGGGATGGTGGTTGAGTCGCTGCCATGGCAACAGGTTGAGATAATCTGAGTTCTTAAAGGCGGATCCTCTCCAGTACAGGTTCCAGTCTTCCTCCTCTCGTTTGTCTTCGTCATATTCCTCCCATCCTCTCTCCAGCAGCACCTCTCTCACCAGATCAGGACCTCTGTCATGGAGTCTGAACACCAGGGATGCAGCCATACAGATTCAAACACTAAAGAGACAGTAGAGAAACAAGGAGAAGCAATGCCAATGCCTTCTTTGTCTTTGTGTGAATCTCTGTGCTGGAAAAATTTATAGTCCTTTGAAGACATCTTCAAAAGAAAAAAAAAAAGATTTCTAATGCTCATTTTTAATGCTTCAGTTTAAGGGTTGGAGGCTCAAAAAACAATATCATAACTGACCTTCAGCTGCACCACCTATCAGATAGCAAAAACTTATTTATCTGAGCTCATCGTGTTCTTTTAATGTCATGCACTTTGAACTTCCTTTATTTGATCTTAGGTATCTCTCCTACTTCACAGAAGTCAAATTTCACACTCAGCTTATTAAAAAATTCCAGGCACGAACAAAATCTTGTCTTGCAGGAAAAACTGGTCCGAAATATGACCTACAGATGCTCTATGGAGGAAATAATTACACAAAGAGGTCATATAAACATCACCACACCTTCTCTGGAGCAATAAATCCTGTCCTAATGAGGTCGGAGGCAGTAATGTGGATTCCACCTTACAGCCGTAAAGCTCAACAGTTCATGTCTCACTGCACTGAGTTCATGTGTGAGGTTAAGTTTTAGTGCGGTAAATCTGAGAAGCCCAAACAAACCTGACACTTCGTGTCCCCGCCCACAGACAGAGGGATCACACTGACACGCTGCATGCCGGTTTACTAACAGACACCTAAGCGGATTCAAGTTTTACATGCTGAACCTCACCGCTTCATTATCTGACAGTATTTACAAAAGAAGGGAAATGAAGCTGTGTGTTATGGATGGACATAATAGCAGCTGTTCACTTTTTAAAAAGCCAAAAAAAACATGCAAAAGAATTAACACTAATTTCTCCTCAAGAAGTTAAACATAAACTCTTGAGGCAGTTCCTGCAAGACATAGTGTACCTACATGAAAATGGTGGTACTTCACACTACAGTTTTCGCAAATATTAGTTGCACACCCTCTAATAAAACGCAAATGTTCATGGTCTTACCTTTGACTGCAGGGAGCACATCAACCAACAGCCAGTTTGTCTCTTGCTGTGGATACAGTAGCTGATTTCTGAGCTCCTCCTACTGACTCTCACAAGCAGACACAAGAGTCTAGAGTCAGTCCAGCAGGTTTTTACTCAAACAGCTTCATTTGTGCTGAACAATGGCTGTTGAGTGAATGAATGCCTGTGGCAAGTCTGTGTTGCTGTTTGCCTGCTGTTAACATAGAGATAGTAAACTATTATCAAGTCCTTACATGCAGGGAATGGTACAAGATGCAACCAAAATAGCAAGAGACAGATATTGTTCTCTTGTCAAAGGTTAAAAATGCACACCATTAGTATTTCAGGTTAACTATTGACCAAAAAGAAAAAACAAATGTTAAATTAAGATCATGAAAGCACAGCTATGTGAAGAAGTTTTATTTTCATAGTCTGGAGATGCCGGATCCATCAGCCGGCTCGTATGGTGGATCTGGAACTGTTGCCATTCTCAATGTTTTCCTTTCGTAGCAGATAAACTGGACCAATAAAAATCCTTCATTTAAGATAACCATGCAGGAGCACAACTTTAATATATTCATCAACAACTAAGATAGTAGCTTCCACCACCAAAAGGTCTGTTGAATCAAGAAATGACCTGGCTGCAGACACAGAAGACCTCTGCAAGTTGTGCACATTAGTTGTGGATACATAGATTGGAATTTTTGTTCAGAAAAATTAGGGGAAAAAAGTCAAAACAGAAATTGACGTTTAAAATTTTATTAAACCAACAAAGAGCTCGCTCAGTACCATCTCATCCGTTCATCTGAAAACAGAACAATTACAAATATTAATGGAATATTGTTTTGTGAAACCTGCAGATGATAGTATTAACAGTGTGATGTATTGAAGGACGTTACCACAGTGATAAAGTCTGTTTATTCTCTGTATGTCCAGGTGAGTGAGATGAGTCCTCTGACCCATTTGAACTCCTCTCTGCCGTGGCAACACGGTCGGTCCTCCATCTGCACTGAAAAAGTACCTGGAACAAAAGAATGGGTAATATTTTTTATCAAGGCAGAAAACTATTTTTCTATGACAGCAGTATCTTGGCTAAATTTCATGGGACAAAATTATGAACTTCAAATTCATATACGGTTTGTGTAAGATGATTTGTGACTTGAGAGACAGGAGGACTAGTAGTGACTCACTGTCCATAGTGCATAATGGAGTTCACGTCATACGGCAGGTTCAGAGTGTTTCCACGTTTCACCTTGAAGTTCTTTTTCCTGGCTTTAGACAGAAATGTTCATTATTATAACAGTGCAGGCTTTTCAAGTCATTGAGACACATCTCAGTATTTCTGAAGGCTGTCTGTCCGTCCATGAGGAGTTTACCTGGGATGATACTCCCCCACTGTACACTGATGTATTGATCTCTGTCGGCACGAGTGTGTTCATGATGTAACCCCAGAGCGTGAATGATCTCATGGCAGAGATTTCCCACGCTGCACGACCGAGAGTAATACACCGGCTGAGCTCCTCCACGACAACCAACAAAGGACGCACAACTGGAAAGAAATGGCAGGGGGGAAAAATGGACAAAAAAGCCTTTTTTTAATGCTGAAAAATTCAACAGAGACTTTTAGTATTCCAGTGGACAGTTGTATATCTGACTTTGTCTTTGGCTGCCAGTCTTTAAAAGATTTTAATCTACTTAAACTGTATTGCTTGCTTCACAGGATTTTCCTTTATCTTACCTTATTAGAGTTGTTTTAGTTGCAAAAAAATCCACCTAAATTGAAAAGTTGATATAAATTGTCTCTCTTATGTGGCTGTTTTGCTAATGGTGATGTCTGTTATTAAAGGTGATTGTCGGCTGAAGATAACAACTTCCTGCTTGGGTTTAGAGTAGATATTTAGGTGGATTAACCTATCAAAACACATTTTTTGTACACATCTTACCCGTTGCCGTTCTTGAACTTGAGGTAGTTGTATTCATAGGTGCGTGGTTTGAAGCGAATACAGGTGTAGTCTGAAATCATCCTGAAGGCAGCGTGGATGTTTGCCGTTTGATAAACTGAAGGTAAAAAGATTAAAACTGTTATCAGAGTTTTTATTCTACTGTTGATGCAGAAGAGTTGGTTCAAAGACAATTAACTCACTCAGCTCATCACTGATGGTGTATGGTACGACTGCATCCAACCACAGGGTCTCCACAGCGTTCCTGTCTTCCTGTAGGGTTAAAGACTTAGATTTGTTCACCACTGCACAAAAACTGGATCTATTTAACCTGCAAGTTTCATAAATAGTGCTACAGTCAATGTGTTAAGATGTTTCATATCAGTGTTGCACTTTATTTCTATATATCCTAAAATCTATTCATCCTGGGAGGACTAGTCCTGATTTGATGTTTTTGTTTGATAATTGAAGTCCATCATCTTACTGGAATTAAAATGTCTCCCTCCTGGACAATCATGTCCTCTTGAAGCTCTATGAAAAAAAGGGGAAGTATTGACGTCTGTACATCACATTTGTATTTAATTTAATTTGTATGTTTCATGTTTACAGTTTACCTTCTAACGTTTCTGCGTTGATTAGTTGTGGATTAAGTTTTACCACAGCCTTGCCTAGAAAAAAAAAAGAAAAAAACATTTCTAAAAAGAGAAGAAATCTCTGAAATTTGAAAAGCACTAGTTAAGAGCTGGAGCTGTGATAGTTTGGGTGTTATTTAGGCAGTGAAAGAAAATTGTAATGTACTGATGTAGAGATCAGTAACTTTATTAATGATCAAATCTTTTTCAAATTTCAATCTCTTCAAATTTGAAAGCAAAAAGTTCAACAAATGAGCACCAACCTGGGTCCTGATGAGTTGCATTATGGGTATCATTTGATGGCATGTCACCGGCTGGAAAAAAGGAAATGAGCGTTTCACATTTTTGTATATTTTGATTATTTAACATTCTGCCATTTATTTAACAAATTGTTTCTGTAAACAGATAAAGGGGAATTGAACTGTTACAACAGAATAACTTTTTCAGATTAATTTTGTTCTGAGGGAGAAATTACATAAATCAAAAATAACAATATTTGGTCAATAATAAAAAGATGAAGAGGAGATGGTTACTCTGTCAATTCTGCTCAACTTTTATTATCTATTAAATTCTGAATGTACGACTTTAATCTGTTGATTACCTGGCGGTGTTAAATACTTGATTCTGATTGGTTAAAACCTAACAGTTGTTGATCAACAACAAAAGTGACACCAGTGATAATGTAATCACACATGTCACATGAAATCAGTCTGCGGTAGAGTGCAGTACATTTACCCTCTGCCTGTTGACACTGTGGTAAAATGGTAGTGGTTAAAGGTTGTGACACCTGTCTCATTCATGTCTAAAGTTAATGTGAAATATAGAAAATAAGCTGATTAATGTTTAAACTTGACAGTAAATCACCAGTTCAATTGATTAGACTGACAGGAAACAGTTTCCATGGATGCACAACCAATCAAAAGTACTTTTATAAACTGTTTTCACATTTTTTAGCACATAAAATCATCTTTAAATCAATATTTGTAAAAGTTTGCACAGTTTAAGCAAAAGCCATGGCAAACAAGAATGTCTGATACTTTTGTGAAATAAATAGATTTTAAAAAGGCCATCAAATACATAAAAAACTCTCAATTATTGGTGGAAATGTAGGAGTTCCTCACACTACTCTTACATTTAGAAGTATTCCTAAAAAGATTAGAGAAAACCAAGTAAGCACCAACCTGAAGCTGGACTGGTCGCATTGTGGGTGTCATTTAAGGGCAAGTCACCAACTAGAAAATAAAAAAAAGTGTGATTTTAAAAACTAAAACCCTTGTATGATCAGGAAAATGTTTTTATTCTGATTAGTCAAAGTGTGTCACATACATAAGACATTATTTTTAAGCAGATAATGTCTGTCAATCTTTTTAAAATTCCAACAATTTTAAAAGTACAAATAAATGGACTGAGTTTTACGAGTCTGTATACACTAAAAAATTAACTGAATCCTCAGCATATTAAATATTATCATCACTGGTATTGAGAATAACCAATTAAAATTCAGGTAATGTCAAAGAGCACCAACCTGAAGCTGGAGTGGTTGCATTGTGAGTGTCATTTAAGGGCAAATCCCCAACTGAGAACAGAAAAATCATTACATTTAAGAACCCTAATTTTTTTTTTTTAATGAAAAAGATTTGGTTTTGACCATGTAATGCAATCAACTTTCTATAGAAAAATATTGGTCAACTCCTTCCACTTTTCTAATGAATAACACATGCACAAAAAAGTGATGCAGACCTGCAGCTAAACTCAATTTCTCTTAAAATCCAGTGAAATATGGGTAACATTCAGAGCCATATTCATTTTATTCTGGCCATTATAGCAGCTGCAAAAGATGCAAATAAACCCAACAAGCAACAACCTGGAGCTGCAGTGGTCATGTTGTGGGTGTCATTCAAAGGACCAATGCCAACTGAAAATATAAAGAAGAAAGAAAAAGAGATTGTATGTTTCTTTGAAAGTAAAAAAAAACAATAACATTGGCTGTGTATGCAAAGAATTCTTTGTTATTTTAACCTCTCACATGTGAGAACTACATGGACCAAGCACCAACCTGGGGCTGTAGTAGTCACATGGTGGGTGTCATTTAGGTGAACAGCAGCTAAAAAGAAAATTTTAGTGACATCTAGGAAATCACAGGATTACTTTTGTTCATACTGCTAGGAGAGTTTATTTTGCACTGTAAACATGATTAAAATAGACATAGGTATCTATATTTTTAGGTATAGCTTTACCTACACGTACCTGGAGCATGAGTTGTAGCCTGCTGGTTTGGCTTTACTGGCACTCCACCAACTAAAGCACAAAGAGTGAATAATTAATCCTGATATGTTGAGATTATGAGCAGTATGAAAGCAACAGTCTGTACCTGTGGACACACAGATGAAAACCAGAAACCACATCGTGCAACTAAGCAACAATTTGGACACTGCTCGTGTTGGCTGTCTGACTGATAATGTAATCAATAGCAGAGACGCAGACAGGTGTGAACGCTTCACTTTGATTATTCCTATTCAGTTTCAACCTAACCTGTAGAGGGCACCGTTTAGGGACGATCAAAGTTCAGCTTTACATGAGAATTACTATATTTAGAATAAACTTAAAGACACATTTGTTTGACACTTAAAATCACACTTTTAGCTGTCTTTCACTCCTCTGGACATTTTTACATGCATACTGTGGAGGATGAATATTTAAAGTAATTTCAATCATGGTGACATATGGCCCAAATTAAAGTCTTTACAAAGAGAATATGACAAAACTTTCTTTAAACTAGTTTTGAGCTGCTTTGGTGATGAAAAAATGAACAAGAATAAGAATAACTTTATTAATCTCTGAAGGGAAATTCAATTGTCTGTTGTCTCACATAAAATGTCTCAAAAGGTTATCTATTATTTACACAAGACTTAAAAAGTCTAATGGCTGTTGGTACAAAAGTTCTTCTGAATCTTTCTGTCCTGCAGTGAAGAGAGAGGAGCCGTCCACCACCACTGGCCCTTTGGTCCATCAAGGTGTTGTGAAGTGGGTGATCCATGTTCTTTAGAACTAAACTACTCTGGGCACATTGAAGAGGAAGAACAAGACATATCTGAATAATACCAGAGAGGACATAAAGTTTCCTCATTCTTATCAAACATGCTGTACAAACACTCAGGCTGGGGATACACACATGCAAAAACAGAATCACATGCAGACACAAACAAAAAGCACACATAAGTATCTGAGTGGCTCTTCGTGCGACGCTGAAGGGCACCTCCACCACGAAAGTAAACATGCATTTCTCCTACAAATAGTCCCATTTTCCACACGCCAATCTGTGCAGGGACTTAAAACCAGCAATTCTCTTGTTCATACTAATATTAGTTCACTGAAGACTGAGCCACAGACTTGATGTGATTGCTCTTTTAATTTTGACTGTAGAGTGGCTGGTAAAAGAGCAAACTCATCCTGATTCTTAAAAAACAAAGCTAAACTGCTTTGTGAATAACTAAAAATATCGCTGTGGGAAAATATCTCACTATTCAACACTGTTTACACAGCTGGACTTGAATGAATCAACACGGGCTGCTTTTACTGCTGCCAGTGATGAGTGACTGTATTTGCAGTGGTCTATGACTACCACTAGAGGGGAGCAATATGACACCTGTGACACTGGAGCTCAAACTTAAAAAGCCCTAAATTTTACCTTGAAGGATAATCTACTGCATTGTTTCAGACTGTGGTTTTATTTTCCACAAAGTATAAGTGATATTGAGAATGTAGTCTCACAAAACGTAAAGGTAGAAGTTTCATGGTTTGAGGTTAGAGATAAGAAGTTATTCTTGCTGATTTAGGAAGGTATAAACCTGTAAGACATAATCCAGGGCTAAAAGCGTAGCGCTTCACAATGTCTGGCTGTATGCCTGAAAGGTGCTTTCAGGTGCCACCACACAAACTAGATACGTAACAGGTAGAGCTGCATACCTGTTTTTCTATGAGTGAATAGTTTCTATTTTTCACCTGTCATAGGCCGTTGAATGACTGTGTTACTTTTGTCCTCTCATGTTGCATTTAAGTACCATTAACACCCAAGAACCATGTTGTCAAAAAACATTCCTATTATGTTGATGGGAGGGGTTTTGTTGGTTTCATTTGGCAGATCTACTGGTTGTAGCAAACATTCTTGCAAATTGGCAGCCAACAACAGGAAGTGGCACTTGCCCAAACCATTGAACCAACTATTTAATCTACTGAACTCTACAGTGAAATACTGTTCCACATCCATAAGTTATGAGGGCCTTAGCAATGGTAGTTTTCACATCCTGGAAGTAACCATAAAGCTAGGGATGAGTCAAAGATAAGTAATGGTTATAAAAAAAATAATAATAATACAACAACAACAACAACTACTACTACTACTACTACTAATAATAATAATAATATCAATAATAATAACAACAATTGTAGTAATAATAATAATTAAAAAAACAAACAAATAAATAAATGATAATATTATTAATAATAATAACAACAACAACAACAACAACAACAATAATAATAAAAATAATAGTAATAATAATAAAGATAATAGTAATAATACTACTAATAATGATACTACTACTACTACTGCTACTACTAATAATAATAATAATTTAAATAATAATAATATTAATATTAACAACAACAACAACAACAACAACAACAACAACAATAATAATAATAATAATAATAATAATAATAAGAAGAAGAAGAAGAAGAAGAAGAAGAAGAAGAAGAAGAAGAAGAAGAACAACAACAACAAGAAGGCATTTTATTTATAGGCGCCTCTCATAGCACTTAAGGTCGCCTGTGTTATGCCAAGTAAAATCCATAAAAGGGAAGACAAAAACCGGAAGCTAACAGAGACTTTTACCTTTGTCAGTGTGCATTTTATTGTTTTTTTTTTTTTTTTACTAAATACACAACCTGAAAACTTCTTCCGTCATTGATGCAGCAGCGTAGTGCCTTGTTTCTACAGTTTCCCACAGACCATGAACGCAGCCTCACTCAGCATCATGAGAGTCATGTGATGTCCTGTCATGTGGTGCAGTCACTTCCTACTGATTTGGTCCAGAGCGGAGGGACTCTGCTGTATCATGTCGTCTTAGTTAGCTTTCACAGACAGTATTTACATCTATAAACATGTCATTTGAGTATAAACCTGATCGTGGATCGCCTCTGAAGCTGGTTCTTTGGTTGGTGGCATGTTTGGGATGTTTGTTGCTTCGGTTCGGAGCGGCGGATGACAGCAGTAGCAGCAGCAGCAGCAGCCTGTGGTATCAGGACCTCTGCAGGTAGCAAACACACCTCCAGCGGGGGAAACGCATTTCACCAAAGATCTGTTTAAAAACATTCATGATCGGAGTATTTTATCCTTTCATACAGAGGGACAGTAAAACCAAATTCAATTCAGAGATTTGTTAGGTTGTAATTTAATTAGCTTGTTGTCAGTCAGCCGGTATAACACGAGCTATGACAATAAAAGAAGGTCCGGTTAAATTTAGCTCATAATCGATGAGTCAATCAGCTCGTTATTTCGGCCAAAACATTACTACTAATAATTCAGCCTATTCTGCTGACTCAAACAAGGTGAAGTTGACCTTACATGACATTAAAATAGTTTGAAGGAATAACACCTTTAAACCAGCTAGCTTGATTACACTGAACAGAAAGAGTTGGCCAAGTGTTTGAGATGGTCTCGTGCCCAAAATTGTGTTCAAATGGTCTCGCGCCAGCCGAGTAAACGGCTGATTTTAAATTAACGGTCGTTTATTTCGCTAACAGCTAGCGTTCCGTTGAGATTATCAGTTAAGGCTGTTGCGACCTCAACATAAAACCACATATCTGCGGACTGCTAACTCAAACCTTCATAAATGAAACTGAAAATATCCCAAATAACCTCAGAATAACAAACTGTACGACCTGTTGTACATCTACAGTTTATTTCTCCTCCACTGGAGCTGTTGTCTAACTAAGCAGCTGCTATGCAAATATTGACTTAGCAATAAGGCAGTAATGATAACCCCATAACTCAACCTGGAAGGTCAGGTTTGCTGCATATCATTTCCCTGTATTGGTAGGAACTGCTTTGTTAACTCTCGCTGGAAAAATTACTGTCCCCAATAGATTTTCCCTGAGTAGTTCCAGAAATAGTTAATACTCTCATTTGGAGATAACATAACCTTCAGTTAAATTAATACAAAAGAAGAAGGTATTTACTTGAAGGTTAGATGAGTAAAACAGAAAAAAAATACAGTTAAAAAATATAAAAAACAGACTTCTTTTGTTGCAGCCTCTTACCGTTTTCTCCTTTACCACATGGAGCTGCTCTCCTGTTGTTCATAAACAATCAGAGCATGACCAAGACGGTATTTCCAAAACTAGGGCACTTCAGAGGTTTAAATTTTTACTCATTACCCACATGGTGGCAGATATTGTGGAACAAATTTTGCAGGGATGCAGAAAGACCTATCCCATGTAAACTGTGCAACATTTAAACCAAATAAGGGTACTCAAAAAGGGAAAAGAGCATCTATTACATTATCATACATCATGTCATCCAATTTTATGTATTAGCCTGATGATTATGTCAGTTCTCCTCAGGTGGAGGGAAGCTATCACTCATTGAAAGTTCTTTGACTTTATCTTACAGTCATTTTTTATGTGTGAATTGTCTAGCTATATTACACAGGTTGTTTACTATCTCCTTGAGTCCTTTTGCTCTTCTTTATTTTCTACAAGTCTTAAAAGAAGGATGCTGTCTGTAAAATTTTGTATGTTTACTGATTATCTTTGTCTTGCATTTGTGCACCACCCTCCACGCAAATGTTCAGACATAAAACATAATAAAAAAACAATAATGGCCTCCACTCTGGCCATTACCTCTGCTCTGTAAATCAGAAAATCAACAAGGACATATTGATCCAATGCTGCAGGGTTGAGACCCAGTACAAGTCTATTTCTGTCTCAGCATGTGCATTGCCAAAATGATTGTCCATCTCTCACATCACCTTCTTTACTAAAACATCCTTGTTTCTTTGTGTTGCAGTTATAAATGGGAGGCTATAGATCAGGATAACAAAGTGAGCTATACATTTAAGCTCTGCGAGTCTTCACTATCAACCAACTGTGGCTCCGACACTGCTGTCTGTGCTCGGGACCTCACCACTAACACAGACCGGTCTGTAGGTGAGTACAATCACTGGGAGTACCCTGTGACACAGTAAAGATTTTTACAGTTACTTAAAACATCTCTTATCAGCAACAGTCTGTTGGCGAGATAGCGACTTAACACAGTTAAGACAGTCTGCTGCACTTTGAACATCATGTCTGTCCCCTGTTATAGACCTTTATATGGGAAAAGTTGCTGCTTTGAATACAGTTTTGCAAGAAAAATCACCCTGTCACCTTTGTCCCAACCAATGTACAAGCTCGCTGCAAAAGATTAAAGAAATAGTAACCCTTTTGACTTGTATCTGGCAGAACTGTTGCGCAGAAGAACTTATTTTGCTTCACAAGAAAGCAGCCCAGACTCTAAAAGTTTATGCTAACCTAAAGATTTAAAATCAGGTTTTATGGCAAACTATGTTGTCAAGTTTCACATTTATTTTTGACCTTTAATATTCATGCATAACACTTAATGAAGTGAGTTTATGTAACACGTATGTAAGCAAATACTGCAGGTCCAGAATAATGGATTGGATGAAGACAATAAAAATATAGTGGTGATTTGAAAACGGTTCTGAAAGAATAACCGTAATAGGCAGGATCTTTGTACAGAGAGTTCCTTGTATAAACTATAGACGGAAGTTGACAAGCAAATATTTCCCCAACAGTCTGATATAGACACTGACCAATTGATTTGCACCATAGAAGTTCTGAGTACTTAGTTCATGTTTTTGAATAGCAAATAGGAGCTTTTTTCTTTGTCTCTGGTGCATCCCCATAAAACTAAGGATTCAAACACAGCAGTAATATTCACAACCTTTAATAGCTCTGCATAAAAAAATCTACGGCTTAAAGGCTAATTGATTTCAGCAGATGTGGTTACACAGTTTTGGTTAGTTTGGCCACGCTAAATTTTCTTCTGTGTGAAGCATGAAATTAACTCAAAACTATCATAACAGCAGCTATCAGTTGCACTTTTATGTTTTACGAACCGCTTTACACAAAACATGTGCTTTCTGTGAAATGGTGAAACTGTGTGTTTTAGGCCTACCCCCTCCATCAACTTCTACCATATTGGCCTGATGTCACTATGAAGTCTAGAGGCTTATTTTGTGGAGTTTATCAGCCCAGATGGGTGGTACATATACCCCGGTACTTAACAAGAATTCTCAGGAAGTCTTATTCTGGTTTGAAATGTAGAAATACCCAATTTATCATCCGGAAGTGATATCTCATACAAAGTGGCTGTCTTTTTTCTCATTAACCAAAGGGCCTTTAATAAAACACACAAAGACACAATCTCTTCATCATGTATTTTCAGCTGCATAGTCTCCTGTTTGTGTAGATATTAAAACTCCCCACAAGTGACTTTGTTATGATAGGTGAATCCCTGCTTTTGGTTGGTACTTTTAAAGTAACGAGGTGCATCAAACATCCAGAAACTCAACCAAAGCCCTCCTGCTGACATGAGGCCTCAGAGGGTTTCTCTAAATGCTGAGTGAAATGATGCTGCAGAGAGCTCTATTTGTGCATTAGCAGATCTGATCTCTGTGCTGATGGGGCTAAATGTGCTGCTGCCACTGCTGCTGTGTGTCAGCAACATCCACATCTTTGTCCTGGATCAGTGAGCAAGAGGTCCAAAAGGAGCTGCTCTTTTCGCAACTCTCACTCTCTCGAGAGGTTATAAAGCCTCTTTCACACACGAACAAAACTCCTGAAAATAACCCATTGGGTGTTATGTCTAAACATATTATTGGCCCTGACACTATCGAGACATCTTACCACAGGCCCTCTGGTAAAATCCCTGCAGAAAGTCAAGATATGCTGTTGTTTGAATACAGCAGATGTAAGTCATTTACATTCTCAGGGTTCAAAGTGAGCGGGTGGAGTGAGTAGAGTGGCTCTGCTTCTAATTTACTCCTCATCTTGGTAATCCGTCTGTTGTGTTTGTATTGTGGAAATATCTTCATACATGTTGTCGAGATATTGACCCCAAAACAGAACCGTTACTATAGACAACGACTCCTCCTGTGTGTGCTCCCCAGCTAACTACATACCTGAAAGTATTCTCAGTTATAAGACAACGTTGTGAGTCATGAATGTGAATCTAAAGTCGCAAATTAAGGTCTGAGAGTATCCTGAAATTACCCCCCAAAATGTGAAGTCCTCGCATAAAGGGGCCAGGGTTTTACCTGCATGTCAATCCACAGGGCTGGTGCCTCTGCCTCATTTCTTTCCACCACTGGCCCTCATTGGACTCTGTTTTTATGGAGACTTACGCTTTCCCAGACAGTCTTTGGTGAATTTGGCAATTTCTATCTCCAATTATGGCATTACAATGATGTAGTGGTGGTTGCGCCAATTTGTAAACAGTCCAGAGCTCCACTGATATTGCCAAGGAGGAAATGCAAAAATGTCTCCACAGAGAGTGTTTGTGTTTTTGCACTCTGGGCAAAGGTGTACCCACCAAACATTTTACCAAAAAAAATGAAATTTAATGGGAATAAATATTCATTCTAGATAAAAACCAATGTTAAAAAATGCCCCTTTGCTTCCGCAGTTATTCAGACTCCATAAATTCACAACTTGAAAACAATGTTTGGCTGAGCCAGTAACGAGGTTATAATTGCACATGCTTGCACAGAAAAATTAGAGTACCACCTCTGCTTAACTTGGAGCCAGGGAAAACCCCTAAGGCCAATATTTTCTGAGTGGTTGGGGTACTAAACTTAGGAGGGGAGTCATATAGAGCTAAACCTCATGGCCTTCATGGCCTTTTCCCCTGTGGTACAAAAAATGTCTTCACATTTTCTGAATCTTTTTACGTTATTATGTGCTGTAGACGATATTTTATGTTGAGTAACATTATTCACATTGTCTCTCACAGAGTGGTGAACCTTTTCCCATCCTTACGTCAGAAAGATTCAGCCTCTCTTTGATGTCTCTTTCGTACCCAGTCACGCTTACTAACCTGTTGCAGATTAACCCCAATAACTTGGAGATGTTCTGTCAGCATAACAGAACTACTTTGGAGCTGGGGTTGTATTTTGCAGAGTTTGTTGTCTGGACTGAACCTATTCTTGTGAACAAACACTTGTTTGCTATTGTTCCTGTATCGATCAGGTTCACTCTAATTTAGTTCTGACTCATATTTTTCCACCCCAGATCACACATTGACTTCCCCTCAGAGGAGCACCCCACAGTTTCAGAAACCATAAATTAAGGGTTTCTTTGGCCTTGAAGCAGCAGACGTGTTTGGGGTACATCAGAGAATTGTCACTTTTAGAGAATACCTCACAGATTAACTCATTTTGAAAATAACTGACAGTCCAGGCCTATACGAACTAAGAGTACAGAGGCTTTTTACTTTGAGATATCCTCATCTCTCAATTTCACTTACATCATTGTCTTTGATTTTGACCTTTGAAAGACGACAGGCTGCCAGACAGAGTTATTTCAGGGCCAAACAACAACAGCCAGCCCTGCAGCCACAGGTCCTGACCTTCCTCTTCTGACAACTTGGTATTTAGTCGCAGCAGAGTGTCACCGTGCTCAGGTTTCTGAGGACTGAAAACTGCAGACTCATGTTGTTGTCATACAGGAAATTTCTCCAGCTTGTTTTGTGAAGAAGTTCTTGTTATAGTTGAGTGATTTTCTACAACACAGTTAAGGTGTACAGGAACTGTTTGGAAAACAAGCAGCAGTGTGGTCAGATGAGTTGGAGTTTAATCATTGTAGCTGACTTATCACATGACTGCAGGACACATCATCAGGCAGAAATGCTCATAAATAAACCCCACAGTCATGCTCTGCTCTCTCTTTTTTCTCTCTCTCTCTGCCTCCGTCAGGCTTTGTCAACGCACTCTGGTTGGCTGTACTCAGAATAAACACATGATCCATCAACCATATCACTTTTGCTTCCTTAAATCAACATCTTTGGTGTCACAAGTTTTCATTTTAATGTAGAAGTGAGAAAAGATGCTCCTCAGTCACATGACTGAGTATGAAAAGGTTGTATGAGAGAGGCTGTGGTTAAAACAGGAAGAGCTTCACAACTCTGTGAGAGACTGTGCGAGTAAAAAGTTTGACAACTTCAGAAAATGGTCCGCAAGAAGTTAGGTATTATAATAATATTGTTCATAATAACAGTGAAAGGTGCAGAGAATCTGGGAAAATCTGTGGAGAAAAGGCACAAGGCCGAGAACCAACAGTGGATAGGTGTGATCATGTGGTACTGCGTTTATAACAGACTGCTCTGTAGTTGAAGTCACTGCATGGGTTTTCAAAACCCACCATCAATGGACACAGTTTGTTGATGCATCTATAAATGGAGATTAAAACTGTAAACATGCAAAGAGTAAACTATATCTAAACATGATCAAACATGCCGATGAACACAATTTGACATTCCTTTTGGAAATCATGGACACTGCGTCCTCCCTTCTAAAGAGTCATATTTAACATTTAGGCAACAGTACTTCTTAGTGTATTTTTTTAGAAACACAGAATTTTAGACAAACTTTCAGAGTGACTATCAACACATTCCCAAAAACAGAATGTAACTGTGTGTTAAAGGACATACAGTTGAAAAAAGTGCAGCAGGCTGGAACATCAGTTCAGTCTGAACAGCCTGATGATTCAGACGGGCCGTCCTGCAGTAGCCGTGTTAAACAGTGTTAGTGGGTCACAGTGTTACATTCTTACATTCCTTTATGGTCCCTTTTGTGATAACAGGCCAGTTCTAATCAGAGGGGGCAGGGACAGAGAAACACGCCACACCAAGCTCACACAAGTTTACCGAGGAATACTGAGGAATTAAAAGTCTGTGATTTTTTAACTTCACATGTATACAGACACTAGAGGAGCAGAATGAGGTCATCAGAGGAACAGGCAGACACACAAGTCAATTTTAGTACAAAGGGGACAGTGTGGTCAGCATTTGATCCAGATATCAGATTTTTTCTGAACTGATGAGCTTGTTTTGAACAGCTGAACCTCCAGACATTATTATTTGTTAATTATCCACACCAAAGAGCAAGTTCTACCTTTTCTCAGCTATTAAGTTTAGTAACACATTCACAGACGTTGCTTACTCTCAGTATTTAACCTTACTGTGTCTCGTTGGAGGTTTCACATTCAGAACATTTCCCACTGCTGTCTGTTTTTATTCAGATGATAAATGTAGACTTAGCTGACAGCAGGGTCAGGGTCGCTCATGATATTACAGCAGGGGCAGAGGTTTATCTGCTGTGTTTGTGAGTTTCAGTCGTAGGTCAGAGGAGGTTCTGCCAGACTGTCTGCTGAGTCTGAGAACGACAGCCTGACTATATTTGTATGTGTGTGTGTGTGGGGGGGGGGGCTTTCAGGAAACATTCATGTGTGATGTCCTATTTTTTGTACTCCAGTTGCGTTAGATAAACTTTTTAAGTCAATAAGTGTGTGTAAATATTCGAGCTCAAGTCGAGCAACTCCTGATGTCGGGTTCACCGTGCGTTAAAGTTCACAACTTTAAGATGAGGGTCAAGAGAAGTTTAAATTGCGAGGGAAACTTGTGGGTTTTCTGTGCCTGATCCTAATGGCAGTTCTCCTTTTACGTTTCTGTAATAACCTGGAGTGAGGTGATGTGAGAATGTATAAGGAAAATAACCTTGAACAGGTTGACTGTGAAGTTTATATTGAGCAACTGGTACAAACCCTGAAGAGTGGCGCTCAACAGGATGAATCAGAACATCAGAGACTGAAGAAGAATGAATTTGAAGATGAGAGCAGTGAGAATGTTTGCACTTATACACTCAGCGTTGCACTTCTCTTATTACATCAAACACCAGCACAGCAGAGGCACGACTCGCTCTCGCCATCGCACCTCTGTGACATTTGTACTGACAGGAGGATGTTGCACAACAACCGACAATATGAAAAAGGCTCCAACAGTGGATATCTGCAGGTTTTGTAGACAGGGCCTCTTCAGTTGTCTTGAATTGTTCAGGTGTGCTAATGTGAAAGAGGCCTATTCAAAATATCTGCTAATTGTTTGGGTGATTATAAAGAACCTTAAACTCACTTTTGCCCTGATAGAGAGTTGTTGTAGCATCTTCATCAACTTACAGTGTTACAGGAAGAGATAGGAGAATAATCATGTTTGGCTTTTGAGTCCAGATTTCAAAATCAATACTTTTTATTGCTCAATTGCACATTAGTTCCAAGCCCGATGGATACCAAACAAAAAATAACATCTACAACAAGCTGACACTTGCAGCATGAAAGAAAAATAGCTGCAGTTGTTGGTGTTTGAATAAACATGGACAAGTTAACTTATCATCTCATTTATTTCAGCGTTTTCTTGACAAATCTGCTCCACACTGATATTTTGCATGTCCACAACTGACTACAACTGACTGTCTTTGAGTTATGGGTGTTTAAATATATTTCTGATCAGTTATTTGACTCTTGTTTTTATCACACAGGTGAGCTGTCCCTGCAGAGGCTCTCTGGTTTCGTGCTGGATTTCAACAACACAGTAAAATGTCCCGAAAGCAACAACAACATCCAGACCAGCATCAGTTTTCAGTGTGGGAAAACTATGGTAGGATTTCAACACAAGAGACTCGTCTTTTTGGGAATTATTGGTTCTCAGGCTGAAAGATTAGTTTGAAAGTGCTGGCCTGAGGTTAGAAATTCCTTATTGGAAGGATAAATCTAGAGCCGGTGAAGTCAAGCAAACATTTTAGTCATCAAGTGAGATTTAAGCGAACATTTAAAATGACTCAGAAATGAAAAACAAAATTGATGTGTTTCCCTCGACTGCTTTAGAGCTAATAAACTTGGATCACTGCGAAGAACAAATTATTGTCCACCAAGTTATATCCGATTCCGAAACTTCCATACAGGCTTTCTATAGTCATACTGGAAATATACATGTAAATATATCTTTATTTTTATTTATTTAACCTTTATTTAACTAGGTTTGTCCCATTGAGATCTGAGGATCTCATTTGCAAGGGAGACCTGACCAAGAATGGCAGCAATACATAGTTAGAACAAACAGTCACACAGACTCAATACAGAATAAAAATGTGAGGAAACATCAGTTGAAACAGAGACATTCTGAGTGTTTGGACTCCAGCCTTTTAACTGCAGATTTAAAAACGGTCAAAGACGCCAAGTTTTGCAGCTTAAATTCAGTCTGCAGATTATTCCACGCAGAGGGAGCAAAGAACCTGAAAGCCTTCTTTCCCATTTCAGTTCGGACTCTGGGAACAACAAACTGTATAAATCTCAACGATCTCAGGTTGTGTAATCCGTCCTTTAAGATCAATAAGGAGGAGAGGTAGTCTGGAATTCTTCCAAGAATGCCTTTGTTAAATGAAAACGTACCAATGACCAAGCCGATGAGTACTTAAAGAAGTCCAACTGACTCTGGAGTATTAAGTACAGCGATGAGTTAAAAATCCACAATTTGTTATAAATCTCAGAGCTCCATGGTAAACACTGTCCAACATTTGCAGACTCTGGGCAGAGGCATTCATGTATAAAACATCACCACAAACAAGAAGAGGTAAGAATATAGACTCCACAAGTCTCTCTTTAACATTAAAAGAAAAACCGGACTTGTTTGTATAGTAAAAGCCTAGTAAAACTTTCAGCTTTCTAACAGCATGCTGAATATGTTCTTTAAAAGACAAGTTTTCATCCAGTAAAATCCCCAGGTACTTAAAAGAAGACACAAGCTCAATTTCTTGACCGTCAGTATTAACAATCTTCTCTGACAGTGTTTCTTGTGATGCTCTTGTAGATGAAAACAACATGAGTTTAGTTTTCTCCACATTAAGCACAAGTTGCAGCTCCCTAAGCTGATCTTGGACCAAATTGAAAGCATGCTGAAGATTTACAAAAGCCAGCGCAGGTGTTGGTGCACAGCATGAAATGGCTGTATCATCTGCATGCAAATGAAAATTTGCATTTGGAACATTTTGTTTCCAGGCAGTCGATATATGTTGTAAATAAGAGCGGTCCCAGAACAGAACCTTGAGGCACACCCTTGTGAATTTGAAGTACCTCCAACAAGAGGCCGTCTGACTGAACAGCCTGGCAGCGTCCTAGAGGACGTTTCCAAGCTAAACAAAGGCCAGTGTGAGCTGGATTTGCACTGTAACTGTCACTAAAACCTGAAGCTTTTCCATCTATAAAGACCCTCCATGAAGGCTTGTAACCACAAAACTGTAAGTGACAGTATAACAGCAGCTGCTCTAACACAATCCTAATCTGTTCATTTAAAGCACCAGAGCAGCCGCTGCAGTGATGTGTGAGTGTCCACACAGATCCGCTCAACAACAGAGCTGCTTTGTTTTGAAAGCAGACGGCACAGTCGAATACAGTGTTCTTTTAGGCTGACAACAAATACAACATGTCCCGGTCACAATAAAGAGGCATGGTCTCTTTAGTCTTCCCTTTGATTAGTTTTGGATGAAAAAACTACAATCAGTGATTTCCTGCCTTTAGGATTTGAAAAAGTCAACTCGAGTTCAAATCCTCTGTCACATAGTTCACAGAGTAAGAATATATCATGTAAAGCTGTGGTTGAAGGTTTTTGTGTATTATTCTCTGCTGACAGGTCTGAAAACAAGCTTTACTCGGGTGTTAAACTTGCACCGTCATCACTGAGTAACACTGAAGTAACAGCATGCTTTGCTGTTTTCAGTTATTTGTTTGCACCACATTTGACTTGCAAAAAATTTGAAATTTAAGATAAAGCCCGTTTAGTTTTTATAAACTCCCACTTGGCTCACATCTAAATGAGACAGAATGAAAGTTAGCTCTCTGTTTTCGTAGCTAACGTGTTAGACAGATTCAATTTTAGTTTTTTTGACACCAGAAGCAGGTGTTTGCTCTCAGCTGCTCTGAGTTTAAGGAAATGGAAACGATGTAGGACAATGACAGTCATCTGCCGTATATTTCTGCTTACTTGAGTCAGTGGTGCGTCTGTGGTTTCAGTAATGACTGAGAGGTGAGGTCGTGTTCACTTGTGTCATTTCCTGTCAAGTAACAAAGAGGAGTTTCACAGACAATATGCGCTCTGGTTTCAGAATGTGAAGTGGAGAAATGAAAGTTAATTTTATGGAACAAAAAGTCGTCTTGTGATTGAAAACAGAAGTAGTAGAGCTTTCTCAAGATGTCTTGTATAAATGACATCACAACTTCTCTGCACTGGGTATAATTTTGATCCCTTGATACTAGGGCTGTAAAGTCCCAGTCAACTGGTCAACTTATTGGTAGATCCATGCTGAGTGGACCAAAATTCTGATGTTAAGTCGATTTTTGGTTGAAAATTTCAGGGTTTTAGTCGTTCAGCAATTTCTTTGACTGATTACAGCCCTACTTGATACATGAGAGAGGGATGAACAGAAAGAAAGAGATGGACAGAGAAGCAGACAGAGAAGCTTGTAGTCGAAGCAGCTGGAAAGCAGGATGTCTGCAGCAGTGATCCAGAGGAACCTAAGGCCTGATGGAGTTTAGGGACTCCCAGAGAAGACTGTGTTTTAGTGACTCTAATGGGACATGATGATTTAAAGTCAATCACACAGACAGAAAGAGAATAGTGAAGGAGGGAAAGGTGCCAGTCTAAACCCATAGCAGCATAATTAAGAGGAGGCCCAGGTCTGATCCAGCTCTAACTATGATTTTTATATTATATCACTCAGCCTTTATATATTGGCTTTACTTGGGCTTGTTCTTGATGTTGGGGTTGATAAAGTTAAAAATAAAAAGGACTCTAAGACCAACAAAAAGTGAGATACATTGGCCGAGTTTTTATTTGTGTCTGTTAAAAAGATGGCAAATGTCCACAAAGAGTGAAACCCTCTCACATCTTTAAGAAAGTAGTTTTAAGGAGCACTTGTTCAGGCATTGAACCTCTAACCTCTTCAGGAGCATTGTGTGTCTTTTTTGGCTGAGCTCAGCTGTAAATCTTGTAAATCTTGTGAATCTTGGTGGCACCCTTATTGAGAGGTGAGCTTTGAAGTGCCAGTGCAAAGTGAGTAAGTGATTTAAATTAAATGATATAAAAACACAGGATTATTAGTCAAAAATCTTTCCTTTTTTCTCTCCTCGGGCAGAGCTGCTTCACACACATACACACCCTTTTAAAGTTATTCACCCTTATCAAGATAAAACTTCCTCATGTTTGTGTCTTTGTGTCCTGCAGGGGACCCCGGAGTTTGTGGCTGAGTCTCAGTGTGTGCATTATTTTGAATGGAAGACCTACACCGCTTGCAAGAAAGGCAAATTCAAGCCACACAAAGAGGTAGGTGGTGGAACATCCGATCAACAACCGGCTAACTGACAAGAAGATTTTGGGCGCAAGTAAGACCGAAACTGACGCATGCGTGTGCTGAGGTGTGATACCTGAGAACAAAGAGGTGTTTGGGAGGAAATTGACTCACTTAAGGTTATTCAGAGTTATATCAGAGTTTCCTGTGTACTCATGTTAAAAGCATCAATTTAGGAGAGGTTATTTTAGGTTTTTATGCTTTATGGAATATCATGAGTGACATCAAATAAGGAACAGATAGTTTAAAAAGTAATAATCTGCTGGATCTTGGACAATTGTTCAGGAGTTTTTCTAAATTGAGGCCAGTATATGTCAGTATTCACTTGAAGTCTCCTCTGTATCCAGGTGCCCTGTTATGCATTTGACTCAGACGGGAAGAAACACGACCTCAACCCTCTGATCAAAACGACCGACGGCTACCTGGTGGATGACGGTGACGACAACATCGACTTCTACATCAACATCTGCAGAAGTCTCAGTGAGTGACCTGAACGCATTGATGGCTGCTGCTTTGACATGGACAATATTCCAGTTAGAAATGGTTTGAAAATGCTTCACATTATTGGGTATGCTGGTCACTTTGCTGAGCAACGTAGCTTGAACTAGTCGGTGGGGTGTGACTGGTCGAAGGTAGCTGTTTACGTTGCTACACAGTGAAAGTACAGATGATGCTAACAGATGCTAAAATGGTAAAAACATGTTATTTTCTGTGTGAGACGGAGGAGTGTTGCCTGTTACAAAATCATGTGTACTATCTAAAAGTATTTTTGTCTTAGTTGGGTGTAGAGATGCACCGATTCATATTTTTTTCAATCCAATCCGATAAGCGTAGTGTATCGGCCGATATTCTATAACGATCCATTACTACTGTTGAATGAGTGAACTGCATACCTTGCTCAGTGAGTGAAGGCATCAGGCTTGACATTCGCCTTGTTAAAATCAAAGGTAACAAATTAATACAGGTATAGATTTACTTAATATTATTTATGAACAAATAATAAACTGTACATTAGCACACAGCAAAAAGAAGTAAGACTTTCATGTAAACATTTAGTGCAAAAGGAAAGGCAGATATAGAATACAGATCGAACAGAATCGCTGTGTATCTGTGTGTGATATTAATTAAAATATAAAAAAACTGGATTGGAATGCTTGATCGGAGTCATTCATCAGATATCTGAACCAGTTAATCTGTCAATATCAGAGCTGATACCTGATCCAAATATCGGATTGGTGCATCCCTAGTTGGGTGCCATTCTATGGGAAACGCCGCTCTACTTATCTACAATCAATCTTCAATGTTCATTAAGTTAAAATATATTTTCTTAAAAATTGTTAGTTTTTTGAAAACAGAAAATAAACTAGAAAGTAAGGCAGGAACTCACCTAAAAAAATAGGTTACATTTAGCTAACCCTAACCCTGGAAAACAGGAACACAAATGGTATAAAGACAGTAACTCATAAAATCAAAGATTTAGAAATCAATTAAGTGGTGAGTCTTAACTGTGTAACTTCCTTATGAATACAAATGTCCTTTTTCTTCTCCATTATGCTCTTTCAGACAAACCAGACAAATCCTGTCCAGAGGACTCTGCAGCCTGTCTGGTCACCGGTCATGGCACCTACAACATGGGCTCACCCAGCAAACAGCTGGAGCTGCTGTCCAATGACAGGTATCCTCAGGCTTGTTCTGAAACAAGCTGTTGGACTGTTGCTGAGTTTTTTTTTAAACTCTGGAGAGTCCAGATTGTGTTTTTGATTTTTCTTCATTCAGCTTTAAAATGATATAAATCTGTACAAGAGAAAATATGTCTTCTGTATTCTTTCCTCTCTAGACTGAGGTTACAGTATGAAGTCAGCGCAGACTCAACTCTTCCAGAAATCTGCAACGGACACCATCCTGGCGTCACCATCACGTTAATCTGTCCATCAAGCAGACACTCGGTAGGTCTCACACACACTTGTAAGACTTGGTTCTGGGCCTATCTTGATCTCTGCTGCAGATATAAAGGAAAGCTCAGAGTGTGCTTTGCTAAGAGTGTGCTGTGGCTTCTCAGGGCAGCACTCCGAGGATGATGGCAGAGTCAAACTGCCGCTACGAGGTGGAGTGGGTGACCGAATACGCGTGTCACAGAGATTACCTGGAGAGCCACACCTGCAAACTGACCAGCGAACAGCATGACCTGTCGATAGACCTGACACCCCTAACCTTGAGCTGTAAGTTAGAGATTTTATCTAACCTTTTAAACCTTTAACCTTTCAGGTCCAGTTTGTGTGAAAGTTTGATCATAGTCTAGTTTGGACATTATTTTTGATTTAGGATCCAGCTGAGATAGTTTTTACATATGTTACAATTCAAATCATAGAAAAGTGATTGTGAAGCAGAGATTAGGGCGTTTCCCTCTCCTATAGACACGAGAATACTTCTCTTTTGGAAATATTCACGATTACACACTCACCCTGCAAGATTTATTGGGTCATAGAGCCTCTTTTTTTATCCTACAGAGGAAGTAACTCAGTGTGGAAACCTTTCTGACCTTCTTAGTTTTGACAACTCATCTTTAAAAATAGAAAAATGTTTTCCATCTATTTTAACTAGTACGGATTCAGGCTGGACTGTATCTGCTTATGTTAGTAACAGGGGTTTCATATACAGCAGCTCACATTGAACCTGGTGGCTGTAATTTGTGTGATAGTGTTTTTTTTAGATTTCAGAATTTTTGAGTCATTTTCTTACAAGAATAAGTTTTTATAAAATCTCTTCTTACATTACAAGATTGGTGTCGTATTTTTCTAAAAATTAAGTCTTATCAAAGCCATAATAGGAGGACATTAAAGACATCATATTATGAAAATAAAGTGGTGATGAAGTCATAGTCTTGGTTTACAGTGAGCTGCCTTTGAGATAACGCGACTCATGGAGCATCTCGTTAGCTTTTTGTTTTAACCCTCTATTGTCATTCTGTGATTGTGTGTTTAGCTTCAGACCCTCCGTACTTCGCACACTCCGGGCCTGAGAGCGGAGATGAGAGCTACATCTACTACCTGAATGTGTGCGGAGAGGTCTCCACCCAAGAATGTGGCTCCGGATCGATATCATCCTGTCAGCTGAAGACGTCGGGGACCATGAAGAAAGTGGCGGGAAGATATCAGAACCAGACTCTGCGGTAATGATGTGGGGATGAAAGTGTGTGTGCTTGTGTGAGGAGAAAACAAACTTCAGGCCTCTAAATAAAGGCACTAGTGCTTTTGATTTTTCTCACAAGAAGACTCCCTGATCAAGTTCGTCCAGTGGCGGCTGCTGGTCTTTCAAGGAGGGGAAGCTCATTTTTCTGGCCTACATCATAATTGTATTTGTTTATTAGTATGTAACAGAACAGAGTCGCCAAACACAACGGCAGTCGTTTTTAACAAAGACAAAAGTCGCTGAGGATCGGTAAAGTCTCTGGAGCAGTTAAGAACAACGGAATAAATGACTTGGAAAATGCTCTGGTAGATGTTTTATTCTTCAAGATCGCTGATTCGCTTGTTTAGCTGTCAATCAAAAAGGATTTCGCCTCAGACAGCTCATCCAATCATGAATGCAGAAGCTTGGAGTCCGGGAGAAAGTCGGGACCGCCCTCTCGCCATAGAACTCCAGTGAAGCTTAGCTTCCATTGGGCGGGACAAAGTCCAGCATTTATCCAATGAGCGTCTAGTTTTGCTGCTGGAACAACCCACTTTAAGCTTGAAGTCAGCAGAAGCCCAGCGTCCGACTGTTTGAAGCGCTGAGGCGCTGCGAGGATGAATGAGAACGAAGTTATGCCGGTTACCTGTGATTATCAGCTTCTTATCACAGTGTCTGAGCAAAAGTTGAGGGCTTTCTAGTGCGTATTTAGTTAATGAAATGTACACACAGCCGTACGTATTTCACCACTTTTTCTTTTTTTGGGGGGGTGACATTTTAAGGGAAGCCGAGCTTCCCTTGCAGTCTTAGAGCAATCGCCACTGAGTTCGTCTGATTCCAGTGGATACTTGCAATAACCAATGGGAGGAGCAGATCCAGTCAAACATGGCAGCTCACCTGATGAATCTTTTCATATCATACTTTTTTAAAAACTCTTTCTCCTTCCCTCCTTTCCTGCCCTCTCTTTTTTACTTTTCTCTTCTGCAGTTACTCAGACGGAGATCTGACTCTGATCTACCCAGACGGCGACAGATGCTCCAGCGGTTTCCAGAGAATGACCATCATCAACTTTGAGTGCAACAAGACTGCATGTGAGACAAGTTACAAAAGACTGTGCACATAATCAACAGCTTTATCTGTTAGTTTGACGACATCTGAGAGTTGTTTTAGAAAGGACAGAAGGCCTTACAAGGTGCACAGTGTCTGACTCATCACAGCAACAGGAAACACTTCGTCTCTGTTTTTGCATTTTCAAAACATTGAGTGTCATCAAGCTAGCATCAAATGTCTCGTGTTTAAAGCTCCTGTGAGGAATTTTTGGGGTTCATGAAACACAGTGATATTCATATTCATGCTTTCTCATGACATCCAAAAACATAAAAGACTCGCTTTTCTTATTTTTACATTTTTAAGAGGTAGGGGTCTGCCAAGCAGCTGAGCAAACAGCCCTATTTTTACTATTTCCATATAAAATATTTACCACAAATGACACATTTGACTCTCAAATGTCTGATAAATCGATCAGTCCTGATTGTTTTCTGTGTTTTCTGCAGCTAATGGTGGTCGAGGGGTTCCGGTCTTTGCAGGAGAGACGGATTGCACTTATTACTTTAACTGGGACACGGCCTTCGCCTGCGTCAAAGAGAAGGAGGATCTGCTCTGTCGTGTCAGAGATGGACACAAGCACTATGACCTCTCACCTCTCACTAAATACCCCGGTGAGTTTATTTGTGTTAAATTAAGTTGAATTTTATCATAGTTGGGAAAAATCTTTTGCTTATCATTCATCTTTGTGTCTGTTTTTGCTGCTCCAGGGTCAGAGGTCAGTGGGAACTGGGAGGCAGTGGATGCTAAATCTCCTCAGCCTGACTCACGCTACTTCCTGAATGTCTGTCACAAAGTCCTGCAGACAGGAGACGCTGTTGGCTGTCCGGTTAATGCCTCCATCTGTGCCATGGGTAAGAGGAGGATTTCCAGAAAGTAATAAAAAGGATATTTTTACACCATAAAATGTCATGATAGTGATGCTGGAGTCAAAAGGTTTTATAGCTCAGGGGATGGTTGTTGATTTTCATTCTCTGACATTTAGTTTTATTTACGGTAGTAATCCATTGATACCACACAAATGCCTTTCGCTATGGTTGACATATTCTTTCATAACACCAAACATGAGCAGATAAGAACAACAAGAGCATCAGCCTGGGCAGCTTCCTCTCATCTCCTCAGAAGACTAAGATAGGAAACGACATCAGGCTGGTGTACTCCGACGGAGATTTCTGCAACAATAAAAAGACGAGAATCCAAACGATCCTCACCCTCAAGTGCAAAACAGGTGAGTTCAAATGATTTTTTTCTAATATCTGTTATTTTCTTTTACACTTGAATCACTTTTTCTGTCTCGTGTTCTTGCAGGAGATCTGGAGAGTGCTCCTATCCTGCGTAGTGTTTCAGATGACGGGTGTGCATATGAGATGGAGTGGTACACTGCTGCTGCCTGCGTCCTCTCGAAGATGCAGGGAGACAACTGCAAAGTGGAGGACCCCCAGGCTGGTGAGACAAATACACGTACAACTCCTATCAGTGAGGATTCTGACTCAAGTTTTACTCAAAGGACACCCTTTACACTCCAATTTGAGAAGATATAAGAACACAAAAGCTCATATGTGCGGTGTTTACATCTCAAAATAACAATAAAAGCAGAAAAAGTCAAGCACCTCCTTAACCCCCCACCAAGCATCAGTAGTTGTTTTGGTCCTTTTAACCTCCTATCAAACCACAAAACCATGAAACAGGACAAAATATTGTTTAATAGTTTGTTTGGCTGTAAAATAAAACTCTAAAGTCAGAGCCTGTTTTTCTAACAGCAGAAAAAGCTGATAAAGCTCACTGACTGTCACACCTCTCAGTCACATGAGAGCTGTTAACATCAATGTTAATCATTAAGCCTTCCCCCTGTGCTGCCATCTAGCTGCAGCTGCCTGACCTGCTCCCATTATTCTCCGCTCTATACTCTTGATTTATGCCTAAAGTTCTGTATCCTCCTCCTCTCTAACCAGCTACTGTCCTCCACAGAGTTTTCCTTCGATTTGTCTCCTCTGACCAAAGCCAACGGAGGTTTCTACAACCTGACCAGCGGCAGCTACACCTACTACATCAACGTCTGTGGCACGGTCACGGCTGCCAGCTGTCCTGCAAAGGCCGGAGCATGCCAGGTGGAGAAAAGGTGAGGGAGGCAAAGCACATGAACACACACATACAGTCACTTTTGAGTGTGACCAAGCATATACTGTTCATGCTCAGAAAGGTTGGATCAATATTTGTTTAGAATATCAGCCTGCAGTTATACTCAATGAGATAGTAAAACATTATGTCAGAGGGTATAAAAATAAGTGCAATCACAGGTGATCATTATCATTATTATCATTTATTATCACATTCAGCCCTGAGTGAGAGAAGCTATAAAGGCTGTCTTCAGGAACTTTCACAAGAGCCAAAGAATAAATAAAAAGCACCAAGTTTATCTGTATAGAGCGCTTTAAAAACAAACAGGCTATTCTTCGTGGTGTCATTTTTTTGTCGTCTACACAGTGTTTTTAAAGTACTAAACAAATATACTTAAGTTGAAGTATAGTTACCTTACCAGAAAATGACTCAAGTCAAAGTGAAAGTCTCCCATGGGAATTCTACGCTCGAGTGCTTCGCCTGCTTCAACTTCAGAACTAGCTAAGCCTAGGCTAGCAAACTAAAATGGCTAATTCATTGTCTTCACCCATAACATCTTAAATAGCCACTGAATTCCCTTAAAATTGTTATGCTTTTATTTCCATATATATATATAACACGTGGACCTGCTGACATTATTTGTTATAAAAAATCTAAGGGTCTTTCAGATTTTTTTGGCCAAATCTAAGGAGGAAAGATTTAGAAGTCTCCTTTGTTAAATCAGGCTAATGGGTATGTTCTTCACAATCAGAAACAATCGTTCCTCTTGAAGTGTTATGCCCAAATAAGCACATATTTTTAGGTGGGTGTAGGCAACAGCTTAGAAAAAATAAATGGACACACACACAGAGGGGCACACACACACACCACCACCAATCACGAGACACAATAGTGCATCCTCCTACAGTCAAGAGGAACTTAGGACAGAAGTTGGGTATGACGATAACCATCACACAGACACTGGACATTTAGGTGGGTGCAAGCAACTGCACAGCCTACAAGCAGCTGCCGACATGCCCGGGCTTGAGTGACTGATTGATGATGACCAAACACAATGCAAATCAACATAGATAAAAGGAAGAAAGAGTTTTTTCCCCCTACCCGCTGTCATAGTAACAAAGTAAAAATAGTAGCGAAGATGCTTCTGTGAAATGTAGTGGACTTAAAGTATACTTTTATTTTTAGAAATGTAGTCAAGTGAAAGTAAAAGTTGCAGGCACAAAAAAAACTACAGTAAAGCACAGATACGTCAAAATTATACTCAGGTACTGTACTGAAGAATTGCTACTTACTTACTATACAACACTGCATCTACACTGGTGCAAACACTACACCAGTCTAAAATGCTGACAGTGGCAGAAGTGGAGATGACTTTGGTCTCTGTATGTTCCGTCTCTGCATCACTTCAGCTCCTGGAGTCTCGGTGAAGCAAACTCCCGCCTCTCGTACTACGACGGCCTGATCCAGCTGACTTACAGTAACGGCTCTCAGTACAACAACCAGCAGCACACCCTCAGATCCACAATCATCTCCTTCCTCTGTGATCCAGAAGCTGGAGCTGGAAAACCTGAATTCCAGGTAAAATCTCCTCCCTTCCTCTTTCCCTCCATTGTTAAAGCTGCTTCTGTTCCTGCTGTGTTGTGTTGATGTTCACAGTCCTCTGTACTGAGGCTGTATCTAGCTTTTAGATGAAAACTGTGTTTGTTTTTGTACTCCAGATTGAGGACAACTACACCTACAACTTCCGCTGGTATACATCCTACGCTTGTCCTGAAAGGCCTCATGAGTGTTTGGTGACAGATCCTGAAACTCTTGACCAGTACGACTTATCCAGGTAACAGAAAGATACATCCGGAGTAATTCTTTATCAAATCCTCAAGCTACCAAGATTCAATCTCCTCATTTTATTTAATCTTCATCTCTATCCTCCAGTTTGTCACGCACCTCCTCAAACTGGCAGGCCATGGACATGACTGATACCCTAGACCTGAGGAAGTATTACATCAACATATGCCGGCCAATCAACGCTGTGCCCGGCTGTGATCGCCACGCCTCCATCTGCCAGACGAAATACACATCAGGGCAGGTGTGTAAAAGTTTGAAAAAATACAACAGTGTAAAAATAAAGTTTTGTTTTCTGTGAAACTGATCTCAAAAAGGTAATCATTATTGTCTTCTACGATTATATCAAAAAGCTCTTTTTTTATTCAACTATTTAAGTCTGTAAAGTAGTTTAAGAAGAGCTGATTTGACAGTTTTTAAATCTGCTATTTACTGCCTTCTTGAACTTTCAGCTGGTAAATAAAATGGTGAATGGAGTAATAATTGTATCCTCTCTTAAATGCGATAAATACGCTGTTTCCTCCCCTCTCTCCTCAGAGCTCTCCAAAGGAGGTGGTCTCAGTCAGTAATATGGGAATATCTAAACGTGGCCCGATCATCGAAGGGCGTGACCGGCTGCTGCTGGAGTTCACAGACGGCTCCACCTGCATGTCAGACGGCCAACAGCTCACCTACACGACACGCATCCACCTGGCCTGCTCTAGAGGGTCTCTGGTGAGTCTGCAGTCTATAGATAAGACTGTCAAGGACATTGTAGCATGTTGGCATAAATGTGTCTAAGATGTGTCCCTGTTTGTGCAGTCAATGGGCCCGAGATTCCTGATGTACCAGAACTGTACCGCCAACTTTAACTGGGAGACCAGAGCAGCCTGTGCCATCAAAACCACCAAGAACAACGTGAGTTACACGTGTATAGTGTAACTCACACTGAACGTGTATTTGCACACTTAAAAACTTATAAAATCTGTGTGATTGTTATAAAGAAACACACTGACGTAGTTTTACATTTATAAAGTCGATATATTTGTGTCTCAGAACTGTGCTGTTGTGGATCCAAACACTGGTTTTGAGTTCAACCTTCAGCTTTTGGCCTCTAAGAATGGATATAAGACGACTGCAAACGGAAAAGACTTCCTGGTGAGGCATTTGATCATCAAATTGTGATTTTCTCGTAGCATATGGAAAAACATACAAACAATTTGTTTCCTGTCTGTAGTGCATAAGTTGGAGACCTATTAATATGAGGACTAATTTACCCAAAGACTGAACAAAAACCCATCTTTCTTCTTACCACCTTAAAGGTGAATATCTGCTCAGACGTGGCAGAATGTGGACAGGGCATGGCGGGCTGTGAGCTGGATGAGGGGCATCCGGTCAGTCCGGTGGGAGTGGAGAAGACCCTCCAGTACTCCACTGATGGTCTGCTCAAACTCACATATAAAGGACCCCTGGACACTCCCACAGGTGAGACAGATATGACATCTGTTCAGATTTATGATTGTTTATGTTTCCTGTGATCAGATCAATTAAAATAAGGAATATTAAAAAAATAGATTAGTCTCTGTCACCTCTGTGCTGTCTTGATGATGTTGCCTAATTTCACATGGTAAAGAAATCCACATTAATTCATAAGAAACATAAAAATCAGTGTTTTAAATATAGTTGAGACATTGAAAGGATTTCTTTTTGTCTGTATTTTATTTACGGTGTTTCAATTATTTATTGTCTCTTTCATGAGTCCATGTTTTAGAAAACCATTGCTTTTGATTTAAACTAATTCCACATTCTCGCACATAATTGACCATTTAGACACATGATGGTTGTTAAGCTACAGTGATGGAAAATAACACCTCTAAACGATGGACCGGCTTATTTCAATTTAAAAACTCCCTTTCAGCTCAGGAGATTAGTCAAAAGTAATAAGTACTTTGTGTCAAACAGAATTAAAATATCACTGAATTATTTCAAGTTTAAGCTTCCACCATTGAGCTGAGCTTATGACCGCAGCTAATCAGATTGGTGTCAGCAAGCAACTGCATCATCAAAAGCCGGCAGAGCTCTAATCTGAAACTGCTGTAGACCTGTGGATTTAACAAAATCAGAGTAGGTTACTGCTGAAAGGGTGGCAACTGACTTCAGATCAGCCAACACTGAGGAAAACTTAAGCTGAAGGCACGTCTTCAAGTGGGCATGTGATCTCTCTATGGCTGGGAAGAAGTCAAACTCATACCAAATTAGAATGAAACAGAGAAACCAACCAAACTGGAGCTCCTAAAAAAACGAAAATGTAGTTGCACCATGTTGACACTGATTTGACATTTTGTACATGCACTCCTAAATATTACAGTGTTACTCTCAAAAGAGACCATTTCAGAGGAGACTGGTTGAGCATGGCATAGTAACGGAAATGATCAATCTTGAAGTCTTAAATCATAAATTACACATCTTTGTCATTTGATTCTGAAGTAAAGACAGTTGTGGGGATTTCAATTTGGACTTAAAACTGTTTGAAAATGCAAAATAATGGCATTCAAACATGGAAGAGTGATTAACTGTTATCCAAAAGCCAATCAAAAGCTGAATCCTTCCCTTTTTGTGCAACACCTTCTAAAATAAGACGTCCAATATTGACCCCTTTTTTTGCATATATTTGCTTTTTTCCATCAGCCACTCGGGACACCTTCACCATCAACTTCGTCTGTGATCCGACCTCTCACCCCGGCTCTTTGAAATTGGTGCAGGAGGAGTTGAGCACTTTACCGCACCACGTGGTCCATAATGTCCTCTTTGAGTTCTCTACTGCTCTGGCTTGTATTCCTGCTCCTGTGGACTGTCAGATCATCGGTATACACACAATCACACAAACACACAAACACTCTCAGGAAAGTTATTGTAAAATGTGCAGATATCTTCTTTTTCCTGTGTTTGATCATTTACTTTTCTGTTTCCGGTAGATGCTCACGGTAATGAGTACGATCTGAGTCACCTGATCCGGGACATAGATGACAGCCCTTGGATCGCCATAGAAACAGATGCGGTCAAATCACGCAGGTTTTACATCAACGTCTGCAAACCTCTTCCTCCTTTGGTCGGATGTCCAGGTCTGTGCAGGCATATTTATCTCTTAACTGAATCTAAATACATATATGATACATATATGAGTCTTAATACATCGTTACCTGTACAGGTGAGGCAATAAACTGCAAGCTGCTGATCCTTTGTAAGAAAATCATGCTCAAAAAGGTCATCACACGGTCAGAATTGTAATAAGTTTGACTAATGTATTTTCATATGTTCGCCTCTTTCCTCCAGTGGGTCCTCTGGGTGCTTGTGGAGAAATCGATGGAAAGAGCGTGAACCTGGGGTACGTCCAGTCCAGTCCTCAGGCTGCGGACGACGGATCCATCAGCATCGTCTATCAGGGCGGAGATCAGTGTGGTTCCACGTCGCACTACTCCACACGCATCATCTTCCAGTGTGACGACAATCCAGTGAGTATCACCGTTTCTGCTGTGGCCCTCTCTCTCTCTCTCTCTCTGCAGTGCTTTGTTTTATACTAATGAGGCCTCATTACAGATTGAAAAAGACAAAAAAAGCAGCTAAAGCTATTTACTCAATTCAAGAACAGAAAGAAGCAATTTCTTTTCACTGCCTCCCCCAGGGTCATTTTGATTGCAGTGTGTTTGACTGTTATGTAAGCACTAGTGTTTTCCTCATGTGGGTTAGGGTCTGTCTCAGTCTGTGCTTTATGTTTTCTATCAACACGACATCTGCTGGGCTCCCTTCTTCAGTCAGTTTGTGTCTCGATTGGCTATCGAGTTGTTCCACGTAACAATGAACAAACTGAGCCATCCTTGGACATCCTCCCACTCATAAGGATTTCTGATCATGTTTAACATTTACAGTTCCCAGTTTGATTGTGTTTGTGTTTGTGCTCGCAGGGCTCCCCCTTGTTTGACCGTAAAGACGGCTGTGAGTATGTCTTCATCTGGAGGACGTCAGAAGCCTGTCCCATCAAGAAGTCCAAAGGTGAAATCATCATTTTTTCACATTTAAGCGCTTATATTCAAAAAGTGTTACAGATGCATCATATCAGACCGTGCTGTAGTGAATTCATAGACGAACATAACTGCTGATTCGGTATGAAATCAAAGAGGGGCGATTATTCATTTCTGTGTTGTCCGATCAGGTGATGACTGTAAGGTTAGTGACCCCAGAAGTGGCTACGAGTTCAACCTGAACTCTCTGAAGGGTCAAGATTACCAGGTCAAGAATGATAAGTACATCTACCACCTGTCCATCTGTGAGGGTCTGCAGAGGGGCGTCTGCACCCACAAAGACACGGGCTCCGACTCTGTCTCCTCCTGCCAGGTGGACGGAGACAAACACAAGATTGCAGGTAAGAAAGTGTTCAAAAAAGAAAGTAAAATGTGTGAATTTGTGCCATTATTCCTGTTTTGTTTTGTTTTTACATGAATTTGTGATTATGTGTTTTTTTATGTGTGTGTTCAGGAATGGCAAACCAGGTTCTGAGTTACGTAGGAGACCAAATCATCCTGAACTACACTGATGGATCGACCTGTCACAGAATCTACAACAGAACCACCGAGATCTACTTCTCCTGCCACCCTGACCGCCATCCTGTGAGTTTTACTCTTGTTTTTCCTTTCCACTTACATTTTAAATTTGGAAGAACTACTTTGATATCTGTGCTGTAACTTCAAAAACTGACAGCTGTATTCAGCTTACCTTTAACATGAGTGATATAAATGTCATTTTTATGACCTTTGTCACACAGAAATGTAATTAAGTAGTTTAAGCTCCTGTGAGTTTTTGATGTTTAAATTAGACTGAAATGTATATAACTGCTTTTTCAGGATATAAAAACGCAAACAAAACCACTGGGATGAAGACTTACTATTTTTATATCTCAGTTTTTAATGCCTGAAACCGTTTTAAGGGGGCAGTGTAACATCACAACAGCAGTGCACAGTGAAGTTGAGTTTTATTCTTTAATTTCTGAAAATGTAGAAAGTCTTAAAACCTACGTCTCAAATAGTCTTATAGGGTTTTATTATAGGTACTTACTTATTAAACAGGAGAGGGAAACCTCGATCTAAAAGTACCTCAGTCCTGTATCTTTGTGAGCTGTCTGTGTGCTGGTTTGTCCAGCAGGGGGCAGTAATCTCACATCGTTTAGGGGTAAAACTTGAGCCTTGCAGTTTACATCATTAACTACTGAATATTAATTATTCACAGTCCTTAATAAAGGTTGGTAACTGTTTAATTTGTTTGTTTGTTCAGGGAGCACCAGAGTTTATAAAGGAGACGCCAGACTGCACCTACCTGTTCAGCTGGCCCACTGCTCTGGCCTGTGTCCCGGTCAAAACAACCAGCTGCTCCTACAAGTAACTATCTCTTACCCTCACTGTCATCACCCTCTTTTCTTCCTCCTCTTACATTCCACACTCTTTGTTTTATCCAGCTCTCCCCCTTTTTCTTTGACCCGTTTCTGTTGAATCTGTCAAACCTGCTGAGTTTGTAGCAGCTGTCCAGATAAATTCACAAACCTCAACAACATGTCAAACATGATTTTCATTCTCTCTGTGTTTTTTATTTTCCCAGTGATGGTCAGGGTCACTCATACGACCTCTCTCCTCTGGCTATGGAGTCTCGAAACTGGGTAGTGGAGCCCTCTACTGAAGACACGGGGAAACAGTTTTACATCAATGTCTGCAGGTCACTGGTGCAGCAGGGAGGTCAGTGAACTTTTATACTCTTCATTTGTTGAGCCGCTTTGGAGGAGCAGCATCAAACTCTGAGTGGTTTTACAAGAACATTTTTATAATCCCATTTTCTCCAACTGTTATTCTATTATCCCTCCGGTTTAGATAAAGTTGGCTAAACTTGATGCGATTAAGCACTTGAATTTAAAAAAATCGTATTAACTTATTACCTTATATCTTATTATCAGGTTCTTGGAAGTGTCCCTCCAGTGCAGCATCCTGTCTGAAGGTTGGAGATGACTATGTTAGTCTGGGCCAAGTGGGGTCTGGTCCAACGCGGGAAGGAAACATCCTGAAGCTGCAGTACAGCAGCGGTCAGACCTGTCCTGATGGACGCCGCAACAAGACCAGCATCATCCGCTTCAAGTGCGACAAAGACAAAGTGGTGAGTGATGGGTACTAATCTTTGCATTGTAGGCTTTAAAGGACAGTTTCAGATACGTCGGTAAGTACATTTCAGAGACCATGCAAAGAAACCAAATAAGGTGTGTCAAAGGGCTGTATGGTGAGAAAAGGTGTTTTTTCTTCAAGTTTATGTTTCAAAATGTGTTCTTGTCTGTCGTCCAGGACTCCAGGCCCACTCTGATCTCTGCCATTGAGGACTGTGTGTACTCCTTCCTATGGTTAACAGCTGCTGCCTGCCCTCTCAATTCAGTCCAGCATGACGACTGCAGAGTCACCAACCCTGCCACAGGTCAGAGCCCCTCCATACTGAAGTTATCTGTTCATATATGTTACTGATGTGTTTTTATTGTTTTACTGTCCTGCAGCGATCTCAGTTTGTACAAATGCACATAGTTCTTTAAGCTGCAGACGTCACAGGCTTTTAAAAGTAGTTTCTCCTCTCCTGCAGGTCATCTGTTTGATCTGACTCCTCTCAAAAAGGAAGGAGGTTACACGGTGTACGATCATAAGGACCACAGGAAAATGTTTCGCATGAATATCTGTGGAAACATGACCAACGCTGGATGTAGCCCTGGAACTGGTGTGTATATCAATCCTTGTATTTAGCCAATCTTTTAAAGAATAAACAACTCTCTGTCTTTGTCTGTGCTCAAATATTAAGATCTCATTTATCGTCACAAAACCTCAATCTGTGATAAACTTTAGGATTACAAAATCAGCCTTAAAATTTAAGAGTAGCTGGTTATTGAGATGTTTTTCTCTGATTTTTGTCCTCAAGTTTCATGTTAAGATATTCATCATGTTTCATTAACAAAAACAAACATAAGATGTCCACAATGACTGACCTGCAAAACTTCGGAGGCTCAAGGGTCACGAGTGTTCGTCATAAAAATTTCAACACGGGCACACAGGAATCCTTTAGCAGGTGGAGTACCTCCTGTTTTCAGATTGTAATGCTTCAGTGGAATAAGCCTTTAACTTTTCAAAGCTGCAGTCAAAAAGGAATAAATCCTTTCATCGTTTTTTTGGTGAAAATTCATTTGATATAGATACTGTTGTTTTTTAGATTGTATATACTTTTATCAGATAAATTGTTTCCATTTTTTCTGTTTTTTCCTTTAAAATGGGGAGGAGCAACTTTTTCAGTATTTTACTGTCGGATCTGATCCAAAGCATAAAACTGGAAAACACGACAAACAAACCCACTTGAAAGAAACATTTAGGATCATTTTTGGTCTAACTTTATATGAGCCTTCCTCCCAAAATGCATCATAAGCACATTTATAAAGCCTTTTAAATACATCTGCAAGGCTTTATAACAACAGTTATGAGTGGTAATAAGCATTTATAACAGCTGATAGCTGTATTAAAGCATTGACCACAATGCCTTATAAAGGTATGTTTTATAATGTATTATACCTTTGTGCAAAAGTTAAAACAATGTCTTTTGAATTTTAGGTTTAATAACACGGTATAACTTAACCTGGTTATGAAGATTAATTAAGAACTCGTCCTATGTATCTTTAAAAAAAGTTAATTTCTTTGATTCTCAATTCAAGCAATATCTTACGAACACAAACATGTCAAAGCATGACTCAGAGCACATCATGTTTTCCAACAACACATTTATTAGAACTTATTTGTTGCATTTTTCTATGGCTGTTTCAGACAAAAATGCAAAAATAATTTTTTCATAATTACATTTTTTTTTGCATTGAGGTGTAAGGCATTATTTACCTTTATTAGACATTATGCTCACTAATAGCGCTTAATTAAAATTGCGAAAATCTGTCTTAAATGTTTGTTTACCATTAGGATTTTTTTTAAAGCCCCAAAAATGCCTTTAAAAAGCTTTCAAATGAGGTAATGATGCATTTTAAGAGATGAGGTCATAAAACATGTTATCAGATTCAAAGGTAAAGAAACCTTTGCAGCACCAGCAGACAGCTCAATAATGTCTCTAAGAATATATACAGTACATGGAGAGACAGGGAGGAAAAAGCTCACCTAGGAGAGTTTTGCAGATTGCATCTTTTGAAGTCAACGAGATAAACAGCCAGCAAGGAACACGGTTTTCAAGAACTGATTGACTTTTTCTTGTTACTGTTTACTTTGTCTGAGTTCAGATGGTTTATGTAACACCATGAATTTGTTTCTCCTCCTAAAGCGTAATGATAGACAGATTATAGCTTTGCTTCGCTAATGATTGACAGGGTTTTCCTCAAGGCTTTAATGGACCAACAGAAAACTGAAAATCACTGAGAGTGTGTTTTCAAATCTTAATCCAGTTTATAAAATTGTTAAGACCAAAACTAGACTAATATATTTTTGTCAACTACAACAGTACTAAGACAAAAAATGACAGAAATGCTACCAGAAATCATAAGTCTTACTTCATAAGTCTAAGATAGAGACACTAAAATAGCTTCTAACTGACGCTGATTTCAACATAGAAACTATATCACACACTCATGTATCGTTTCATTATTTTTATCACAAGATGACAGTGAAAATCAACAAGTTCAATCATCCACATTTTAATACAATCTGAATGCATTGTGTGTTCCAGCTGTGTGTATCAAAGATGCCTCTACAGCAGTGAGCGGTGGCCAGGCGAGCAGGAAACTCTTGTACAAGGATCACGTTCTGGAGCTGACGTACGAGGGAGGAGATCCATGTCCTGCAGATCCCACCCTCCACCACAAGACCATCATCCATTTCATCTGCAGGTACCTGAACCTTAACCTGTCCCGTATCAGTTCCTTCCACCTTGTTCTTTTTACTGCTATTATCTTCTTATACTTCTTATACTGAATTTTTGTCTGAAAAGGCATGATTGTTTTTACAATATCTAAGAAGCTTGTAGGTAAGCAGTGATGTCAGTTTCGTGTAAAGTTAAACTGATATTCAAACATCACAGTGAGATTCTTAGTGGCTTCATTTCCACAGTAAAAAACATGGAACAAATATTTGTTGTCATTAATTATTCATACATTCATTTAGCAGATTACATTCATTTCAATGTGCCTCAAAGAACATGAAGTAGATCACGACAAAGCCGGACAGCCTTTCTTTGCTTTCAGCCCTTTTCAAATATGTACCCTGGAGAAATTCAAGACGATTTCAGGACAGCCTGTCCCAGACATTTTCCAGGGTTTCCCTTCTCACTATGATTATTTCTTGATTATTATCCCCCCCGGTACCGTTCCTGTGTCTGCTCACCAACTTCTTGCAGAAATGTTACCCGGGGGACTGATTGAAAGAAACCTGACAAAGTTGGTTGTTAGCTTTCCAAGAAATGTCCTGAAATTTCCATGAATGTCTTGTATGTGTAAAAAAGCTTTTGAGGTTTATTTTAGTTTTTCGAAGGCTTGTGGGTGATTTTTAAGTTGAATAGTTTGAAGAGACATCATTTAGAACTTTTGAAATGTACTTCTGACATGAACACTGAAAAATGTTCTGAATCGTACTTTCTGTTTGTGCAGACCACCAAACATGGACTCATCCCCTCCAGAGCCCGTTCTCATTGACTCCAAAGCTGAAACCTGTACACACTACTTTTCTTTCCACACCCCTCTCGTCTGTGAGCAGACTGTGAGTATTTATTTCATTTCTTTTCTGAAGTGACAGTTGGCTGAATGAAAAAATGAACAGCTACAAAATAAAAACTGGCCCAAAGATTCCCTTAAATATCTTGGTATTAAAGTCCCCTCATTATTAACAAATCTATATGGTGAAAACTATTACAAACTAGAACATCAGTAGAGACCTGGACTAGTTGTCTGCTGCCTCTTTGTCTTTGTTTAAGTGCAGTCAAGTGTAAATCTACTCTTTAAGTTTCTTTACCCATTTATGTCATCACCTGTCGATATTCCCAAGCCTAGGTTTGATAAATTAAACAGGATTATTTCAAAATGTATGTAACAAGAAGACCAAAGATTGGACCGAAAAACACTCTATTTCAAAAAACCCGAACAACATGGATTCAGGATCTTCTGGATACAGGCCAACCCACCCTTAGTTTAAATTTTTACAGAGGCTCTTTCGATTTGCTGAAACCAGCTTTAACCTTACCATCATCTTTTTAAGTTCATGTTTCGGCCACCAAAAACTTGGTCGCCACTTGGTATTTAAATGATGGGTGTGTTTTGTCAGGAAATGTCCCTCCAATATTTCTCTTATTTTCTGTCGATCCATCTTTTCAGGTAAAGTGTTCAGTCCAGAACGGCTCTGCTCTCATAGATCTGACTCCTCTGATTCATGCCAATGGATACTACACAGCAACAGGTCAGTCCAACTTATTAAAGCTTATGACTACATAAGTATAGAAAAATTTTGATTGCATCAACTTCGGCACAGAGCTAAAAGAGAGTCTAAATCAACTGTTTAAATCTGATCCTTTAGATGATGCAGTGGACCAGAGTGATGGATCTCCAGACTTTTACATCAACATCTGTCAGCCTCTGAACCCCATCCCAGGGGTCACCTGTCCACCTGGAGCTGCAGTCTGTATGGATCCTGATAATGGACCTCCTGTGGTAAGACAGCAGCTACTTTTCTGCGCATTTAAACATATCAATTATCAGATTATTAGGTTACTTTATTTGAGGTTGAGGATGGGTCCTTCATTCTGTATGTTTAACATCGATGTTTCTGCCTTTCAAAGGACATCGGGCGGACCACGAACGGCCCTGAGCTCAACAGTGAAACAGGAGAAGTGTCCATCACTTATCACAGCTCCACCAAGTGTTTGTCTGACCCCTCTCAGAACTACACCTCCACCATCATCTTCACCTGCCAGAGAGGCCCGGAGCTGGTCAGTCCAGACTTTAGTTTCCGTGATGATACGTCGTCGCGCTTTACATGTGAATGCATGTTTAGACCGGTCTCTCTCTCAGCTGTCTTATCAGTGAGCTTTTCTTCCATCACTCAGGGCTCTCCACAGATGCTCAGGCTGCAGGGGTGTGCCTATTTGTTTGAGTGGGCCACTTATATAATCTGTTCGGACGCAACGCACACCAGCGGCTGTCAGCTCACAGACACACGGCTGCAGTTCACCTTTGACCTGTCGGCTCTCTCGGGTGAAGTCCAGGTGAGCTCTGTCTGCCCACAAAACAATATTTATATATTGACCTATTTTATTCTTGATTGTGAATCGTTTGTTTTGATATCAATAAAAGTGTCAGAATCAGCTCAAGTGCAATTACCGGTGTTGTTGGGAATGATTTTCTGCCCTGACATAGAAGAGTGCAAAATGATTCAGGGTCAGTACAATCAGTGATTTTCCATCAATCCTTTTTTTTTTTCACTGCACTGTCATCCTGGTGCTCCTCACATACTGAGACTACTACTGGGCTTGGTTTCCAGATTTAATCCAAATAAGGATGATCCTGATTTGGACATCCACTCTTTGCTTTCTGAGATTTTTTTGTCCCAGTCTTTTAAGGTAAAACCCGACTTAACCATCTAGATCCATTTTCAAACTTTAGGAGATTACCAAAGGCTTGCTGTTGGCCTTGTGCTCTAAACACACCTCATATCACCTTCAACCTGCAGCCCTTTTCCTGTGCGTCTCCCCGTATCTCCTTCTCTCCACTGTCATGTTTGAAAATATCATGTTTCTGATGATACATTTTTCTCTGGATCAACCCAATTTCAAAACTCAAGCCTTGACCAGATCAGATGGGTTCTAGACCCCTGATCCCAGTACGAAAAACATTAACTGGAAGTAAAAAGTGGCATCTAGACGTCTCTAGTGTTGAATTAGTTTGTCGGATTTCCTGTCCCACTGTGGTTCTGGTAGAAAAACTTGCCTGAGTGGAGTCTCTGTATTTCAGGTACCAGTGGGCTCCAGCACGTACCACATCAACGTCTGCAGCTCTGTGGCAGAACCTGCCTGTAAGAAGGGCGCAGTGTGCAGAGTGTCTGGTTCGGGTCCAGGCAAGTTAGCTTATTCATTCGGCATCAGCAAAGCCATGACGATGGACTTCAGACATGAGGAGCAGGCGGTACTGATGCAGTACGGAGGAGGAGATCCCTGCCCACCAGGTAAGCAGAGAGCCAGTGAGTAAAAAGTGAAGTGTGACACTCGTGTAAACACTCTGGGTTGGAGTCCTGACAGGTGAACTGTTGTTTGTTTGGGTGTTTTAGTGACGGACAACGGCGATGCGTGTGTGTTTCCCTTCGTTGTCATGAAGAAGTCGTACACAGAGTGCACCAAAGACCAAAGAACCGATGGCAGGAAGTGGTGTGCCACTACATCCAACTATGACACTGATCAGAAGTGGGGGTACTGCCATGAAGGTGACAGAAAAGATAAATACTGAGATCACAGCTGTTGTTTAAAGTAAACAAAACTCTTCAGAAGTATATTGTATATCATCACATGAGCAGTTGTATCTCCTTACTCTCTTTCTTGCAGCCACTGGTAAGCGACAGTCCTCCATATTGTTCACCTGTGACCAGTTTGCAGGCAACGGCTCCCCTCAGCTGCTCTCTGAGACGGCAGGTTGTTCTGCCACATTTCAGTGGAGGACCAGCGCCGTTTGTCCCCCGAGGAAGATGGAGTGTAAGCTCGTCAGCCAGCATCAGACCTTTGACCTCCGAACTCTGTCTTCCCTCACTGAGCCGTGGAAGTTCAGCCACAAAGGAGACGAGTAAGTAACGAATTTCATGTCATTGTTTCGGCTTTCTATCACCCACAATCCAAGTGGTTTGGGAGTGCACAATGGTACATTTAGCTGGTATTTGTCTGACAGTACTTCAGATAATGAGTCCCTCCCTTCATCTCCTCAGGTATTATATAAACTTGTGTCAGGGTATCCACGGGGGGTTACCAGGTTGTCCAGAAGGAGCAACAGTGTGCCGACGAACAGCAGCGAGACGGACTCAGACCCTGGGCCGGGTTCATACACAGAGAATGAGCTACGCAGGTGAGAGATGAAGCGGTACACATTTCGTTTTGCTCGAGCTGCTGGAAAACTTCGCATAACTGTGACTACAAATTGACTCAGAATGAAACATAACAGTGCAGCCTCTCAAAGTTTGATTTGTTTGAACCCCACAGAGGGGGTCATGTGAGCTCTTTTTTTCTGCTTCATTTGACTCTCACAGCTGTGTTTAGACTGTATGTAGAGGAAAAGTTCATGATCACGGTCTCAAACTGCTTCTGCAGATGGAAAAATCTCTGTGAGCTATTCAGCGGGAGACGAGGTCTGCGGTCACGGAGTGAAGGCCAAGACTGTGATTGAGCTGAGCTGTGGCTCCACGGTCGGACACCCAGCACTTCTCAGGTACAGAACAGTTTCCCCCCCCTGACAGGTTTATCATTTCAATCCAACAAGAAAAAGAACATTAAACATCCCGATGTGACGCCACACCAGAGTAAAAAACTCTCACTTACAATAACACTCATTTACTCTTTGGTTTGTCATTTCCAAGCTCCAGTTAATCCCAGAACTGAGTGTTTGTATTTTAGTTAAACTTTCTCTCTTTTAACATCATTTAGGTGCGGTGCATTGCAAAAGACCAGCTTGGTGTTTTTTTTTATTTCCTGCCATACAATAGTTGGACTTTTTGGATAAATATGTAACATTAAAAACCCTAAAAGGTTTTCAGTTGTTTGATTACAGCCATTTTGTATTGATCCGTATCCCTCAATAAAAGGACACAACCTTAATATCAGGTGCCGGTTAAACAGCTGTGGTTCACTGAGATTTGAAACTTCAAACTAGAAAGAGCTAAATGCTAAAACACTTACACAAAACAAAGGTAATGATATATACACAACACATCTTAAATGAAGGACTTTTCATTTAAACCAGCCACGTATCACTACTTTCTTTAAAAGCATGATTGTGACCGAATAAGAGAGAAAGGTTAGAGGTGCTGAGGCCTCCCTGATCTGCAGCTGTGCACAGCAAGGCTGCAGCTTGTGTCCTCAAGTGCCGTCTTCTGGATAACAACGGACAAAAACCTGTCTGTGCATTTTATATTTGTGTTTTTGTTGCTGCTGTGAAGGATGCAGCCATCTTTTCAGGTGACACCAGATCTTTCAGTGTTTACATTATCCTTCATTAAAACCTCAGCTACAGATCTTATAGTTTTGTTTTTTTCTCTTCATTTTGGATTCACACGGCAGGTTTTGAAATGTTCAGTCTGTTTAACTGTTAAAAAGTATATAAACCTGATATGCTTCTGTGTTTGTGTGAACAGGGTTGATGAGGCTACATGTGAGTTTGTGATTAGCTGGGAGACTCGGTTGGCGTGTGCAGTAAAGCAGCAGGAGGTGGAGATAAAGAACGGGACTATACAGGTTCCTGACACAGGAGCCAACCTCAGTCTGGGTCCTCTTTATTTCAGGTAACCCCAATGTACACACTACACCTGTGTCTTTATCCTCCTCTCAGTGTACAAAAATGTGCATTTTGGTGCGTCTTTAACAATGAAAGAGAATTAATCGACCACACTGAATTGTTTCCTCTCTTCTGACCCTCCTCTCAGCCATCATCAGGCATCTGGAGACCTCCGACCCAACGGTGACAGCTACATCTACCACATCCAGCTCTCCGGTATTACCAACAACTCTCTGCCCAGCTGTTTGGGTGCAAACATCTGCCAGGTCAAACTCAATGGGCTGTACAGGCGCAGGATCGGCTCCTCCAGCAAAGCCAAGTACTACATCAAAGGTAGTTTCCCCCCATATTTTAAAACTTAAAAACTAAAAAATGAAGCTACCACAATCTAACAGAAGGCTTAATAAAGCCTGAAAACGAGTTCCACGTCATTAGAACTGGTTTGCTCTGTTTTACACACCCAGCATTAATCCTGTGGCGTGAATCCTTCTTCTTTTCCACCAGGGGGAAACCTGGATGTGATTGTGCCCTCTGAGTCTCGGTGTGGACGTGAGAAAACAAAGATGGTTTCATCCCTTATCATGTTCCACTGCAACCCCTCAGCCGGCATCGGCATCCCCGAGTTTTTGCGGGAGACGGACGGATGCCAGTATCTGTTTCTGTGGCACACCAATGCCGTGTGTGGGCTCATGTGAGGAAACATTGTCACCGTTCACCTTAACCCTCCTGTCGTGTTCAGGTCAATTCTGACCGATTTACAACTTAAAACACTCATAAATATTGTGTGTTACATCTAAATGCCGTAAGACCTTATGATATCCTATATATAAAAGTTATAATCGCCACTTTCAATAAACTTTAAGTGTTTTTGGCAACTTTGGTACATCTGTGGTGTTCCCGTCAAAAGTGACCGCCATAGGAAATGAATGGGTATCCCGACTATATTCACCCATCAGATAAGAAATTATCCCCATACACACACACACACACACACACACACACATTTCAGACTGAACTATATTTTTGTGGGGTACATATCTCTTTCCCACGCTTATGTTCTGACCCTCCCATGTGAACCACCTCCCAAATAAACCAATGTATCATATCTTCACTAGACTAGACAGATGTCTGTTATGAGAACCCCATTCGTTCCCATTCTTTTGTGCCTAGCACCCACCCACACACACACACACACACACACTCACACACACATGAACCACCATTCAGTTGAATAATGTATCATATCTTTACACAGACCCCCAGTATACAGCTTGATATTCCTCTGTACTCCTTCGTATTCTAAAACCTGTCAGACAGACTCTAGACCTGATTTTTGAAGAAGATTAAGCGGGCACTGAGGTTGAAGCAGAGATAGAGGAGAGTGTCTCAGAAGTGGAAGACAACCACTTTTGATCCAGACTTTGAGGGGACTGACCAGTCAACAGATTGAGAGGAAGAAGCACCTAAAGAACAGGCAGCGGAGGAGACACTCCAGTCCAAGAACGGAGCCCAAGAGTAAAACAGGACGGAGGGAGTAGAGCAAGAGTGGAAAACATTATAAAGATGACGTCAGGGCCAACATGGTATGCGGCATCTCGTGTGAATGACATCAAGTCCAGCTTACAACTCTTTTTACCAGAATCCATCGAGGGAATTATACTGGAGATGGACCTGGTAGACCGCCAAGCCTACATATGTCTGTTAATTCCAGCAGGAGTATATCACTCAAACAATGAGGCTATAAAAAGTCTGTGGAATGCAGAGTCTGGCAGGCCTATATTCCGCCCACGCATGCGCATGGATTCACATGCACACACTCACACACTCATAACTTTATGTAAAAGGGTTTGGTTTCTGGTTTTCATTTTGACCGGGAACACTAAAGTAAGGGAAGGAGGAACACAACCGGAGGGTTAAAGGACTCGTGTTTTCATCCAGATGTGGAGAGGGGGTTTAAGGACTGGCAGAGATATCTAAGTCGTGTTTTTTTGTCACCTTACAGAACCGTTGATCCTCACTCATACGATGAGAGCAGCGGTGAAGTTCCAGCTCTTTCCAGGCGGACTCAGGCTGTGGGGATTATATCCACTCTCCTGTTGCTGGGGCTTGCAGTCTGTCTGCTCGGGCTTCTGCTGCACAAGAGAGAAAGAAGGTGAAATCTTTGAACAAGCACAGATGAAGTCAAAGATGTTTGCAGAAGCTTTGCAGGATTCTCATGAGCTCTCGTCTGTCTTCTTTTCTCATCTTCCTAACAGAGAGCTGGTGATCCAGAAGGTAGCAGGCTGCTGCAGGAGAGGAAACCAGGTCTCCTATAAATATTCCAAAGTAAGTTGATCCACTAAACTAAGAGATTCAGACACTTTGATTTAACTGTAAGTCATAGTTGAATTAAGCTGTTATCGCCACTTATCAGAACAGACAATGTCTCGAAACTTAGAGTTCATACGAGGTTACTCTGCAACTCCACAGTTCACGTTTGCAGTCAGAGCGACACATGTAGTGTAGTTCCTGCACATATTACCATAATATCTCACGTGTTACTGCAAAACACATGGACTTACATCATAGAGACGGCTCACTAACCTGCACATGCACCTAGACTTTTACAGAACAGATAAACTGTCAATGATTGTTTTTGAAAGTCTAGCAAATGTAATAATTTCTCATTTCTGTGTCCGTCAAGAAACATCTCTTCCATCTGAAGCGAATGAATGTGTTTAGAGATTGGTGACCCTCAGCACATTAGTGTTTTTGTTATAGGGTGATTCCTTAGACTGTAATGCTTTTATTTTCAAATATAGGACTTTTTTTTGCAGTTGTGTAATTAGAGGTTTTTTTTGCAAATGTAGCCTGAATATAAGATCTGCAATCGTTTCCACTAGGTCAACATGGATGAAGAAGGGGGCGATGAGGAGATGGAGTGGCTAATGGAGGAGCTAGAAGCCCCTCCGTCATCCTCTTCCTCATCCTCCCACAGGGGAAAGAGTAACCACGGTAACGGTCACATCAAAACCAAGACGGTGAACACAGACGGGCTGCGCTCGTTCTCTCTGGATGAGCAGGAAGACGACAGTGAGGACGAGGTGCTGAGTGTTCCAGGGGTGCGAGTGGTGAAATCGTCTGGACTCTTGAAGCCCTCCACCGTCCATCGCAGCGCCTTCCTCCAGGTGAGCATCTCCTCAACATGAACCTATGAAGACACTTTGATATATGTACCGAAAAAACCTCTCAAGGGCTTCTCGTTCAGCAATGTGTATCTGGAATGCAGCTGTGTAGCTCTTTCCGGTATCAAGAGGAGTTGGTAGTCTGCTCGTTGCAGGTTCAGTAGTTGAAAACTTTACAGAGATCTTTTAACTTTCAGGAGGAGAGCGATGAAGATCTGGTCGGCCTCCTGGAAGAGTCCGACAGGAAGCGAAAGAGCAGCAAACCACGCCCCTCAGGCCTTAACCAGGGTAACAACACGGCAGCCAATAGGAAACGGGACGAGGATGACAGTGACGAGGACCTCCTCAGGGTGTGATGTCACTTCCCTCCTCCTCCCTCCTCCTCCTCTTCATCCATCCAGTCTGAACTCTTCTCTCTCAGTGAATGTCTCCGTAAAAGCAGCAACGACGGCGAAAAAAAACCAACAACACATTGAAACATATTAACGAATGCAGAAACCTTTCCTCTCTTTTGGGGTTCTTTTTGGTTGGACTGCACCTTTACTCGACCTTCTCAGACTCTATCCAGTCCACTGTCTACAGACTGTCGATGCTAGCACATGGGTTCTTATTTATTGATAGCTGATTATTTAAATTGTTTCTATTTTTGCATATTTCTGTTCAAAACTAAAGGAAATATTTTGCTTCTGTAGAGTTCCTTAAATCTTCTCTGGTTTTTCTAATACACTCCTAACAGGCCTGCTGGGGCTTTACACAATGAGGCATGTCAGTGTGAAGAAGGATAATTCATTGAAATGATATCTTTATTTTCTTCTAGGGGGTTTAAAATGAAGTTGTGCCATTGCTTTTGCACTTTATGTAGCATTAATTAACTGAGAGTAACACTGTCCACATGTCTCATTGAAGATAATAATAAGAGAAGCTACTGTTTTAGTTGAATTTTTGTTTGTTTTTTATATGCGCGTTGGCCTGTTAGGACTGTATTTTGTACCGTTTTTGAGGTTTAGAGATGAAGTAGCTTAAAAGTGAAGCATTTTGGAGCAAAAATCATCAGCTTTTGAAAGAACTAAAGGAAGACTGATTTAGTCGGAGGCAGGGAAGAGGTTGTTTGACGCTCGTGTTGTTCCTAAAGGGAATAAAGACAGCCATTTGTCTTTTCTTGCTGTTTACAGTCGCTACAAGAGCAGATATTTCTCTGTTCCCCGTTCGAAGAGAGAGCGCAATGCCTTCCTGACGATGAATTCACTTCTTCATCAGATTGATTTGTTATGTTTTGATCAGAGATGTTGTACATAGGCGATAATGTTCTATAATATGGACGTTTTGTTTGTTTATTGTCTGTCCTCCTCACGGGTGTTTGTTTTTATGATTATTTAAATGGTTGTCCGAGCTGATCATGCGTTGAATCTCTGTTCTGTGTGAAAGAGAGGTGGCCTTAAGTGTGAACGGACGGACGAGGACGGAGGCTGAAAGTCGAGATGTTAGTTTAGGTTGTTTGTTTTGAAGCTCCCCCTCCCAATGAAGCCATATCTCTAGAGTCCTTAATGTAGGGCCTTTTCTCCTCCTGCTTGCACCTGTCATGATTTCTAAAATCTTGGTTTTTGTTTCCAGATCTGCACCAAAAGTCAGACATAAACTCCCGGTGAAGCCATGTTTATGTGCCGAAATCAGCCCATTTTTGCCAAACGCATGTTGTGTATCAACAAACCAAGAATGCTCACCATTGATTTATATTTCACCAACTTTCTGCTTCATCATGATGGTTTTACTCAAGGATAATGACAGGGGATATTTAAAAATGTTTACACTCTTTAATGAATCAAACTAAATCCAGTGTTTTCACATTCTGACTCCGCTCACACAGTAGAAACAGAGTATTTGTGCGCCGTCCTACCTGCAGGTACATTATTTTCTCCCAGCCAAAGAAGTCGGAATAAAGATGAACTTTTTTTACAACTTACACAACAACAACTAAAGTATTTGTAAACTCAGAAGTAGCCGAAACTTTTCACTGTTAACTTTAGTTTTTCTTATGTTACTCCTCGTAAAGAGTCGAAACAAACTTAAAGTGCAGTTGCTGTAACTTAAATTTTTACGTTAAGCCAGTGTGAGTAATTATGTGAGTGTGTTAGACTCAAAACAAATCAAGTTTCCACAGATCAGTTCAGCCCACTTAGAACGAATGTACGACCAGAGGAGAGCACCTTCAAACTTTTCATTTGATCATGACTTTGTTTTCAGCACGAGAGGGAACCGACAGTAAAATCCCTCCTGGATTTTTTTTTTTTTTTTTTCCAGTGTTAAATTCACAGAAACTCAAAGTGTTAATGATAAATGATGATGTCTTTGTTAAGATCTCCAACCAACCAATCAGGATATTTGTAAGTCTTTGTACACAAAATGTATTAAACAATATTTTGTAAGTCCAACTTCTAAACAAAGAGAAAACAGAAGGATTGAAATATCCTCATCAGGTACTTCAACTGGAGACGTCAGTGTTCAAACAGGATTTACTTAGAGTTTCTAGTTGTTAGACTCCAGCACCATTGTAGAGTTAAACTTTCCTCTGGCTCATTAATCCAACATTAGGAATATCTTTTCCTCTATTTACCAACAGTTAATCTCCAGCATTAACTGTATGAAGGATGGATGACACACCTCCTAAAAGTGAAACCAAAACATCCCTAACTGACATCTTTCTCTGGTGGGACCACAGCAGTGACATCTTGCACCCTACGCTAACAAAGACAAAGAGATTTGTTTTTACTAATAAACTTTATATGAAAATTTAAGTTAATTTTGAAGCTTCAGTGAGGTGCTGTTCCTCCTTTACTCTGCTGATCTGGAGCACAGAGGAGCTGTATTTGTCCCCAGAGCTGTCATCATCTTGGACATAAATCTGCATGATAAAAGCGAACTTTAATAACAGAAATATGTCTGTTTTAACTTTGATCCATGTCCCAACTGTCAACATGGAGGAGGCAGTTTTTATGACCTAGTCAGTAGGGGGAGTTCTGCATGTTTTGGCCTCACTTTTAGGGAGCTACTGTTACATGCATTTTTCCATATCGTTCTCAAGCGTCTGAGCTTATTGCGTTTAATCCCTGATATATAAACCTCTGCCTGTGTTTTTAAGACGTAGCAGCTCCACTTCTCACAGTAAAGCAGACGGTGCTATGAAGTACGAGGAGCCCTTTTCCATCTCACCGCCAAAGTTTTTGTGACAAATCTGCATGGTACGGTCCTGCCCTCCTCCTTTGTGCTTCTCCGTCTACCCTCGAGCAGGAAGCTGCTGTGACACTAAATTAACGTCTGAGATCGGGGTTAAAAGTTAAATTAAGAAGTGGACAAACAAACTTGGAAAGCACAAGAAACTTTTCTGTGACAATTCGGTACAATGGGAGTTCATTATTATGTTTGAGTTGGTGTAAGTTATGTTGTCTGGTATGTTTATCAGCTCTTTGCCTGTTTTCCTATTTAAAAGAGACATTGATGTAAAAAATATTGCATTATTTGAATAAATAAGATCTGCTGTTTCTCACTGCTTTTGTTCTGTGACTGAAGAAGGATAATAGAGGAAGTCATGATTTGAGATATGACTTGGAGACTTGTGGTGAACGAGTTTGTGCACACAAGACAGCTTAGCATAACAAAGTTGGGGTGATGAAGCAGTCTGAAAAAATGAAACAAACACTTTGTAAAATCCTGTGTGACCTTTGAAAGTTGAGTTTAAATCTTTAACGTCTTGCAGGGAGGATAATGGCGATTATCATCCTGGTCCCACCCCTTCTGGGGTCTTCATGTCTAACAGACTCCCATTTAAATGTTAACTGACTGACAGCATCACTGACTCTGTGCAGATGTGTCTATAAACCTAGGACCATGTGTCCATGTTGTTGCATTTATTTTAATAACTATCCTCAGCATTGACACACCCAGTCTGACGTCTGGGTCAGTGATGGTAAACTGGCTTTAATGCTCCACTACTTCATACGTAAGACTGAAACGTCTGTCTGAAGACCTTTGCTCCTCTGTGTCCAGTTAAAAACCCAGAGAGAACAGCATGTCAGCAGTCACTCTGGAGGGAGGCATAGCAGGAAGGCTGTAGATAAAAACAGCTGTGTGGAACAGTTTATTCTAAGAAGACTAAAAAAGTTGTAACACCTCTGCAGCCATGACCACTTTTGATGACATTTTGGAGGAATCGGGGCCATTCGGCCGCAGCCAGAAGCGGATCTTCGCCCTGTTCTGTCTTGTGTCCATGCCCTGGGCTGGTGTGTACGTGGGCATTGTCTTTCAGGGGTACACCCCGGATCACTGGTGTCGGGACTCTGAGGTGATGGAGAGGAGGCAGACGTGCGACTGGAGTCTGGCTCACACTCGCAGGCTGACGACGCCACTGGTCAACAGCTCTGGAGCTCTGCAGCCGAGCAGCTGTGAGCAGTATGACCTGGACTGGAACACCACAGCGCTCACCTGTGACACACTGGAGCTGGACCTCAGCAAAGCCCCAACAACTAGCTGCAAGAACGGCTGGGAGTACGACTATGAGGGACGGAGATCTTTCGTCACTGAGGCAAGTATTGTGATCAGGCTAAATCAGACTTTTGATATTTGTAAATGAAAGCAAACTGATATAGTTGATAAAAGAAGGTCAAATGTACCAGTTTTTAAGTGTGTAATAGCATTGTTTTTGTAATATCAATGCATAAAACACAAATTAAATATAAGAATGAAGCACATTTAAGAACAGCTGCAGAAATGTTGTATGACAATGACAGGCAGGAAGGTTTCAATACAGTCAATTAAAGTAAAGGAGCACCAACATGCACAACAATATAGAAATACAGAATGAAATTTCATTTTCAAGAAATAAAAAATAAAAGCAGAGTAAACATTTTAAAAGAACTGACATCCCAAAAATGTCTGACATTTTTTTAAACATGCAAATCCAGGAGTGCAGAAGAAATGCAAATTGTAGATCTTAATGCAACTTTGTGTTGTACTTTGTCTTAATTTCAAATTCTCCTTCACATGCAGGTGCAATCAAGATAAAACGTTTTACACTTGTGTTTCTATTATTTGTATAACAACCCCATACGTCTCAGTTTCCATGGTTTCCAAAACAAATGGCTTTGACAGACACAAATGCCTCCGAGCAATACCTACACATCAGACATAATAACGTTATGGTCATTTCTTTGTGTTTCCCAGTTCGACCTGGTGTGTGCAGATGGATGGTTGGTGGACATGTACCAGGCCACCCTCAACGTGGGATTCCTGATCGGGAGTATTGCCATTGGCTACCTGGCCGACAGGTGCGTCTGTCTCTGATTGGCTAATCTACTTTTATTTATGCTGTGATCAGTGCAAACAGAATTTTCTGGTACATTTTATATTTTTGAAAGGTTGATTTTAATCTTGGTCAGCTATGAACCTAAAACTGTAACACCCATCCATGTCACATAATACCAGAACTTTGGGTCCAATCCAAATTTTTTAATTAGACATGAAAATAAAAACCCGACTGCAAATGCTAAAAACTTGCAGGCATCGTAAAAGGGATGTGCAGGTTTAGTTGACTTGATTTCATCATTGCAGGTCTTAAATATCAGTCATATACTGCAGATAAGCTGTAGTACTACTGCCATGAGTCAGGAATATAGCTGTAGATGATGGTTATAGTGCTATAATACTCTACTACCCGGATGTAAACAAGCAACTTAAACTGGTATATAAGCATGTAACTGAATTGTTTAAGTGTTTTCTAACATTTGAATTAATCAGTCAGTGTAATTTTCTATTTAAATTCTCTTTAAATGTAAATATATGAATATAAGTGGAACATAACCACATAAAAAAGCTCAAGCTGAGTGTTTTTTTTTCACGTGTTTGCGTGTCTCCAGGTTTGGCCGGAAAATGAGCTTCCTGATGTCCAGCCTGCTGAATGGAATCGCAGGAATCCTGGTGGCTATTGCTCCAAATTATGTTTCCTTGCTGGTTTTCCGAACACTGTACGGGTTTGGTGTGAAAGGAGGCTGGGTGGCAGGATACGTGCTGAGTAAGAACCCGGTTTAATTCTGCAAAGAGATTCACGATGTGTACAGTCAAAAACCTCTGATAGTAATCTGAAATGCCTCTCAGTCACAGAGATTGTCGGCGTGGAGTACAGACGCACGGTTGGAGTCATTTATCAGATGTTCTTCAGCGTCGGCATCCTCTTCCTCCCTCTGCTCGCCTACTTCATCACCGACTGGCGTTGGCTGCAGGTGGTCATCACCTTACCCTACATATTCTTCCTGTCCTACTACTGGTGAGACACACCCCTTTTCACATCAAGTTTTGAGAGGATCAGTCTGCCTCCCAAGATCAGGCCTGCTGTCTTTGCTTCATGAAGTTTTGGTATTTACAGGTTCATCCCAGAATCTCCAAGGTGGCTCCTCTCTCAGAACAAAAAGGCCAAGGCTGTGGCAATCACGGAGGCCATAGCCAAGGAGAACAAGAAGACTCTGTCCAAGAACATTGAGGTACAAATATTTCCTGAATTATTTACACCAACAGAAGTTTCTCTCAACATGAAATTTTTGAGTGTGCAACATTTTTGGAGGCATCACTCAGAGCGTATTTTTGATCCTTCAGACTCTGGCTGATGATAACGCGGACACTAACACTGCCTCCTTCATGGACCTGATCAGGACTCCAAAAATGAGAAAACACACCATCATTCTCAGCTACAACTGGTGAGGATGTTTATTTAAACTTATAACTTCATAAGTTCACTACTTATCTATGCATTTTTAAACATCCCACCCCTTGCTTCGTCCAGGTTCACCAGTGCTGTGGTCTACCAGGGTTTAATCATGAGGTTGGGTATTCTTGGAGGAAATGTGTACATTGATTTCCTCATTTCCGGCCTGGTGGAGTTCCCTGCTGCCTTCCTCATCCTCTTCACCATCGAACGTATCGGCAGACGCCTTCCTTTCGCCTCTGCCAACTTCGTAGCCGGAGCCTCCTGCTTCATCACGGCTTTCATCCCTGACAGTAAGACTTTGCAGACAGATGGAAATTTAAGCAGGTTGTTATTTTCTCTCTTTCTCTAACACTCGTTTTTGACCCTGCAGGTATGTTCTGGTTTAAGACAGTAGTGGCATGTATTGGTCGGCTTGGGATTACTATGGCCTTTGAGATGGTGGTGTTTGTGAACACTGAGCTCTATCCAACCTTTGTCAGGTAAACTTAAACACTAAGACTTGTGTTTTGAAGAGATGCACTTGTAGAGCCTGATTTGACCTAAGCTGTGATTTTTCTCTCTTTAGGAACCTAGGAGTGTCAGTTTGCTCCACACTCTGTGATGTCGGAGGCATCGTAGCACCGTTCCTTCTCTACAGATTGGCTGTAATCTGGCTGGAGCTCCCGCTCATCATCTTTGGTGGGTTTCAGATTTAAATGCTGGTTGCATTTAAACTGCATTGCCAACATTATCAGTGAAAGCCCTGATGAGTTATAAAAGTTAAAACTATGCGTCCTTATTTAGGGTCCCTGGCTTTCCTGGCGGGTGGTTTGGTGCTGTTGCTTCCTGAAACCAAAGGCGTGCCGCTGCCTGACACAATTGATGACATTGAGTTCCCAGACAAGTAAGTTTCCAGTCTCAAATCATGAAATAGTGAAACACATTTTTGTATCATCCTAGGCATGTACAGCTTTGTGTGTGTGGATAAAGTGTATGTATCCTCTTGAATACTTATTCTCAAGCATTATGCTGATGACGCTATTATATTTTTCTTAAATCTTCAATTTTTTTTAAATTTTGTTATGAAATGGAATTTTAAAAATGGTTTTATTTGCTCTGTGTTTTCAGGTTGATGGAAAAAGCTGACCTGAAGAACCAACAGCTGACCAACCTGCTGCCAGAGAAGAACGGCATAACAACCAACAAAGTTCCAGAAACAGTTTAATATCCATGACTGCAGTATTTATTTATTCTTCAACATTCATACTGTGAACTATTAAGTGTTTCATCTGTTTTTCTTTGTTTCTGACCGTGTGGGCAGTCACATAGCGGTTAGCTATGAACCTTATTAACCATAGTGTGTTAAAATTAAGCTTTGCAGAGTGATTTTTGGTCACTTATATGTGTCCTCGTTAAAATAAGTTAAATGAAAGAGTGATGGTTGGACTTTTGTGTGTGTATGTTTTGTAATTATTGTATGACTACATTATTAAATTATTAAAGATATTTCTTCCATTGAGTTTTGACTTTCTGTGACTTTTTTGAAAGAAGTTTGATACACTTTTATCCCAACGTCAAGTCATTCTCCAGTCATTGTTGAACTTGCATAGTTAATGTTATTTAGTATTCCTGATACAGTTTGAACAAAGCATGAAACTGTTTAAAAAGGGGGGAGGGGATATGGGGGTCAAGGCTCAACCCCCGATGTGCTGGTCTCCCAAAACCACCCCTTGACAGGCACATGTGACTGCGATATCAGATGCATCTTTATCTTCAAGGATTCAGAGTAGATAATAACTACAAACCACCTTGTTAAATAGGATCTCAAAAGATTCTTAGTGGGTTAAGTTAAGGATTTTAAACTGGGTCTATCTCGCAGTCTCCTGCCAACCAGACATGAGCATAAAACCTTCAAAAAGAGATCCTATCAGCCGCCTAAGCCACTTTTACTGGCTCCTTTGGATGAAACTTATTTGACAGCTTGTGTCTTGGATTTTATTCTTTCAGTTATTACCCAAAGCTTGGAGACATAAGTCACAGTTGTAACTAGGGTTGACAAGTAGACTTTCCTTTCAAACTAGAAATCCATTTTATCCTCATCAATGAACAAGGTCCTAAGATCCTAACACCCAGCAACTAAGGCCACGTTCACACTGCAGGTTATGATGCACAATCCGGATTTTTTGTTCAATTTTAACTTTTTGTGCAGTCGTTCACATTACAACAACAAATGCGGCATCTAATGTGAACGGAATGCGTCCATGAAGTGACCTGCATGCGCACGAAGCACAAATTGCTTTCTGTGCCTGTTTGTGGCTGTGTCCGAAATGAATCACTCAATCTAACCCCTAACCCCCATATGGGATTTTACTATATAGCTGACTATGTAGTGAACTCAATTACCGGAGGTTTCGGACACTACATGGCATGATGCAATGCATGACGGGATGCCCACCACCAGTGAGTGACCATCGGATGGTCACTACATTTTGCAATGCTTTATGGGAAATTTTGAGTCGCCTATATAGGGCACTGGAATTGATTACTGAAATTTCGGACACCCCTAAAAATGGCTCTAACCCTCATGTGGTCACCTATGTAGGGGTTAGGGATCCATTTCGGACACAGCCTGTGTTGTCGAACAATGGTGACGTTTGTTGCATATTGATGACGTATAAGTCGAATGAACGTGACCTGAGCGTCCACACCGCAGTCACATCGGATACATATCCGATTTATATCCACATACAAAAGAGGCCTGGGTTGGATTTGAAAAATATCTGAATTGCACTGTTCACACTTACATGAAAAAATCAGATTTGTGTCACATGGTTAAAAAAATCGGAATTGACCTGCAGTGTGAACATATCCTAAGTGTAGGGGCCAAAATAAATTTGTTGAGGGCATGATTTCTACTTGGACACATCCGGGGATCGGCTCTGAGGGGTGTGGTTTTGGGATGTTTGGCGGGTTATTTCAAAACACCGCTGTAGTTAGAGACGACGAGTTTTGCTAAGCTCTGATAATTTTCTGTTGACCGTTTATCTCTCATCCTTCTACCCTCATTTCATCATGTCACTTTTCAAAAGTTTGGACCTGGATCTGTTTTGGACTGCAAGTTTTCTGTCCTTTTTGAACAATAAATCACCTTTAACACTCAACCGGACTGATGAATTAAGCAGTCGCAGATGCAAGCGCACCTAAACCCCAGCGGCCTTTTTGTTGATTCCCTGGATTAATGGCATGGAGGCGGACAAAGCCTATGGATGGATTGGATCTCGGACTTTCGGATTGAATTTGAACAGTGATTATTTGAATTTCCTCACTTCCCATTTTCCTCTGCTTCAGTCGGAGACGCCACGATCACTGCCGCTGCGGAGGAAATCTCACCGGCTGAGAGCAGCTCTTCACAGCCATCAGAAGCGGTAGGCCTGTTTTCCCTCTGTGTATGGTTTAAAGTTTGAATACAGTGGGTTTGTTCCACGGCCTCGGTTGTGTTGAGCATCATTGTTGTGATTGCTGTGGTCGGCGGAGATTAAGCGTCTGTTTGATTGACAGCTTGTGGCGCTGTGTTGGTGGTGCATAGAGCAGCAGAGGTTGGAGGCGCAGCGCCATTACGCGCCGGTGTGACTGACTGCTTTGTGAACCATTGTAAACGCTGTTCATTCACACGCTGATTCTGTGTGTTCTATGGCTGAAAGTGATGGCAAAATCAAAAATAGTGGCAAAAGGAGTGAGACAAATGAAACGGAAGAAAGGAGGACAATGGTTAAACTTACAGCCAAGGCTATGACCCACTAAATGGTGCCAATGATGATAGAAAGTCCAAATCCTAGCCTTTTCCAAAAACTGAAGGAAACATCTTTGCAACCATGGTGACAGTTGCAAAGAAAAGAAATGATAAAGGAACTAAGGAAAGGAAAGTTTGGCTGCTGCTCTGAAAAACTGTTTGTTCTTTGATGGTAGACATGATTTGTGTCTACCTTCAAAGATGTGTTCACAATTGGAAATGAGGACATATAATGAGAAAATTGCACATCTAAAGGAAAATGGGGTGTGTTTTGGCTGTCTGTGTAAAGGAGATATCAGCAAAGACTTTAGAAAGCGTCTACAATGCAACATATGTGGTTTAAAGCACCCTAGCATGCTGCATATCCACCAAAGAAGGATTCAAAAGGAAACCCTTCATAAAAAGGCACCTAAATCCAGTGCTGTAGCTTCTGTGCTGACAAGTCGTCTTACTGGGGCCGATGAGGATAACTGCAAACTTTTAGTAGGGCCTGTGCAGGTCAAGGCTAAGAAAAGAAAATTGAACAGTTCAGACATAAGCATTTCTGGACCCTGGTGGTATCATTTTGCACACTGGGGCTTATGAATAAGCTCAATCAATCAAATATCAAAGTCAAATATTCTCCTGCAAACAATGGGTCAAAAGAAAGTTGTTGAAACTAGTTAAGTCTCAGGCCTAGAGGTTGCTTGACTGGACAGCAGCAAATTTTGTGATCTTCCGGCATATATACACAGAAAACTATACCAGTGCACAAAGGAAACCGTCATAATCAAACTGACATAAACAATTGGCCTCACCTTAGTGACGTGCATCTTCCAGAAATTGACTCTGAAATAGAATTGCTGATTGGTTCAGATGTACCAAAGGCTCTGAAACCATTAGACGTCATCAGAAGTGTGGGAGGGGGTCTCGCCCGGGGAGTAATTTAGTCTAGAACTGCCACTGGCTCCAAATATGCATCCTGTATGCAATACCCAGAGTTGCTCTACAGAGCAAATAGGGAACTTGCTTAATGCGGATCCTGTATGTTTTCGGCTTTAGAGATGCTGACCTAGCTTAACGCTACAAACAGTCCCTGAACCTGCTAGAAACTAACAGAAGCACATCATCTGCAAAAGGCAGAAATAATATTTTTAAGCTCAGATACAGGAGATCCTTCCCTCTGGGGATGTGCCTTCAGATCCTGTCTGTAAAGATCACAAACAGGACCTGTGACAAGAGTCTAGCCAAATATGGATATAAATGTGAAATAAAAAGGACTAATGAAATGATTTAGATATACAGTTAAAAGTCGAACAGAGTAAATTCATTTAGGGACATGCATAAATATATATATAGACATTTTCAGATACTTGTCCATCGACAATGCATTTGGCATGCCATTTGACAGATATTAGCAGCTTGTGTCGAATATTGAAATTAAACTTTATCCCTTAAAATAAACCTATAGATCTCTGAAAAACTAAAAAAAAAATTAGTTCAGACTAATTCATCACACTCAGCCCATTTGCAACCATAATAAAACAGATTATTACCCTGATTTTTGGTCATGTGGCTCTTGCAGCAAAATATAGTGTTAAATAACATGCATTAAGTTTAGAACATAAATGTGTAGTTTTTGTTTTCTCCAGCAGATGGTGCCATTTACCCACTTTCAGCTGGGATAACAGCAAACACCTCTCCTCGAGACTGCTGGGGCGTTTATTCCGCCGTGAAATATTTCAAGGGTAACATGCAATAAGTAAGGGTTGTTGCTTAACTTTCTTTTACAAGAATAAAAATAATCAACGGCATTTATGTTACGGCAACTACGAAGCCTATTACAATAATGAGAGTAATTCAACAACTTCATCATCTGTGATTCCTCCTGCAGTCAGTCATGCATATAATCTTCAGAGGTCATAAAATTTAGCATTACTGGAGTGTTTGTGTTACAGGAAGTTCACTTGTATTTAAAGGTATGGTGTCCAAGTAGAACTGTAATCATATACCTGAACATTTAAAATGTATCACTGAGTATTATTACACTTTGGCTTTTAACAACTTAAAGTTTTGCAGTTTTACACACTTGTAGTATACAGACTCAGTTTTAGTTTGTGCTCAGCAGGTCTGATCAATGATTTCATAGCTCTTCTGTCTTTTTCTGTTAAACTTAGTCAAACAGTAACAAGTTTTCACCTGAACTCTTTTAGAAGCTTTTGTTGGACAAGCTCCCATCAGGGAAGAGGAGAGTGAAGTCAGTCTTGTCATTAGAACAGACAGATTCCTGCACTGATGGCGACATTTGATGACCTCCTAGAAGAGGCCGGGGGTTTTGGCCGGAGTCAGAAGCGCATCTTTGCCATACTCTGCTTGGTGTCACTCCCGTGTTCAGTTGTGTATGTCGGCATTGTCTTCGAGAGTTTCACCCTGGTCAGCGGCATATAAGGAAAGTTTTGCTGGAAAGAGACACAGACTAAATGTGGGGTGGGTGGACCAGGAGAACCGTGTGATCAAAGTATGTACCTGCAGTATTACCTGGCTGATTGAGGCATTGCCCTGTGATTAAATTGGGCAGCAGGTGATCCAGATGAAGACCTGATGGCTGAAGGTCATTATGTTTTGTGATTAATGACATTTGAAAAAAAATTCAGTATTTTTTTAACTGTAAGTGTCCTGATTAAAGTATAACCTAAATGATTTTTTAAATTCAGTAAGCAGTTGAAATTAGGTGGATTATTTACTGAGCAAGTCTGTGTGCTATTTACCACCTGTAACCAGGCAATGTAGTTCAACAGGCTGAACTCTGAATAGAAGTGAAGTGAAGTGAACAGAATGTAATGGAATGGAATGTTTTAGTAGAGAAAACACATAATAGAATAAAGTTGAATAGAATTAAGTTAAATAGAATTGAGTTAATTAGAATAGAAAACAATAGAGTTGCTTTTTAGTCATTCTCACACTGTAAAAGAACTTTAAAAATTGGAATCAAATTATTGTCCTATAGACAGAAAGATAAAATGACCCTGATTGGACCCTGAATGTCCACCGGCCCTGCAGTAAACAGCTTGTCACTGGTACTATGAGAACTACTCATTATTCAGTTTGGAGTGTCTGTGAAACATGCAGACTCGAACAGCTGATCAGTGCCTGCATACAGATGACCACGTATGTTTGCAGTATATACAGACTTTGTGGCAGAGGAAAGTGTAGAAAATCTCTCAGCAGAGTGTACACTTAAATGGAGATATATGTTATGGTCCGAGTCTCTTAATATAAATTAAGTTATGCGGTACCCTCGGCCCTGTCTACGGTAAACTGTAGCCTTGTAGCTTGTGTGCAGGCTCTCACAGCATTTTGTCATAAAAAAGGCCAAGCTAACCGCCATCCACTGTGGTCAGTGCACTCACTAATGAGAAAACTTCCACAGCCTCACATTAAAAAAAAAAAAAGTCCTGTTATTTCTTCTTCTCCCCCTGAAGCTTTTCTGTAATCAAACAAAAAATCAGATACCGATCGAAAAATTTACTCGTTAGTAAGAAGATTTATATACTGTGTTGCTCATTGCCCTATACTTGGGGTTACTTTAAATTAGACTCCTCCCTGGTGCATACTCAGTGTACAGTAATCTCACAAGGTCACAGTCATTTGATCCTGAATGAATGGTGCGCAACAGGAACCCAAAATACATCCTGTATCTATTCATGCATGAAACCAACGCGAGTCCAGCACAAGTTAAGACCAAGTGTAAGTGTTTATTTCCCTCTATAAATGTTACTAGGAGCTGTGACTCACTGATTATTATGCTGCTGCTGCTTTGAGCTATTAATCTTTGGATAGTAAAACATACTGGTCAGTGTTTTTTACCCAGCAGTTGTGCATATTGTTGTGTTGTGTAACCCTTGTACACTTCAAGCATACAGAATTTGTTTTGGCTTGGGCTCAGCAGGTCCATCCAGTGATTGCATAATTCTGCTGCCTTTCTCTGTTTAACTCCATCAAACAGTAACGGGGCTCCAGCTCCACTGCAGTTTTAACTACTTTGAAGAGGCTCCTTTTTTTGACCAAAGCTCAAAATCTGCTTCGCTGGTGAGGAGGAGAGTTCAGTCTGCCAAAGCCTGTAAAAAACACTGCTAAGATTAAATGTTACTCTGTGATTTTTAAAGAGTTGGACTTGTTTAGATTCTCAAGAACTTTGGATCACTTCAGTGATGGCGACCTTTGATGACCTCTTAGAAGATGCTGGGACTTTCGGACGCAGTCAGAAGCGCATCTTCGCCCTGCTCTGTATAGTGTCATTCCCATTTTCAGGTGTCTACCTGGGCATCGTTTTCCAGGGATATACCCCGGATCACTGGTGTCGGCACTCTGCTGTGGTGGACAGGAGGCAGGAGTGCGGCTGGAGCCTGGCGCACAGTCGCATGCTGACGGCGCCGCTGGTGAACATCTCTGGAGCTCTGCATCACAGCAGCTGTGAGCAGCATGACGTGGACTGGAACACCACAGTGCTTACCTGTAACACACAGGAACTGGACCTGACTCACCTTCCTGTCACCTCATGCAAGGTGAGCTCTTTAAAGCTACTGTTAGAGAATGTTTGATAATTTAGCCATCTAACTGTTACTGGTGGAAGATGAACATTAAATATGTGCTCAGAAAAATTCAGCAATCTTTGCCTTTACCCTGACTTCAATGCTGGATTTATTCTCATTTAGGACTATATTTCTGTGTTGTAACAGATGATTTGCAAATGTTTTCCTTTAGTGACAAAAAAGTTATATAATATTGTTGCAGTTGAAGCACAGCTGGATAAACAGCCGGTCTAAGACCCTCTGAGGAGTGAAAAATTCTCTGGCAGGGGTGTCTGCAGATTCTCAAAAGGTCAAAGACATCAATATAAACAGGGCGGATTTGAGTACAGCCAAGATTCAGTCTTTCTTAAATGAGCCAAGCCGGTGTTAGAATAAACACAAGGCTCGATCAGAAAGGCGTTTTTAGGTTTGAGCAAATTTACCAAATCTTCAACTGTTATTTTGTTTTTGTCTCTTAGGATGGCTGGGAGTATGATTATGAAGGCAGGAAGTCCTTTGTCGTGGAGGTAAGTGGTTAGATTTAACACATTTCTGTGTCTATGCTGTGTGTTGCATGCCAAGTGAAAGTAAATAACCTCAGATTCCCTGTCTGAAGATGAGGGTATCCTGTACCATGTAACCTTTGCCCTTCTGGTCTCAGTTTGACCTGGTGTGCTCAGATGCATGGTTGGCAGACTTGTACCAGTCCACTATCAACCTGGGCTTCCTTGTTGGCAGCTTTGCTTTTGGTTACTTTGCTGACAGGTGAGGCCCTGAGCTGTCTTATCCTATCATAACAACACTACAACACTTCCTGCTGTCCTTTACTTTTATTCCTCTCTTGCACCCTCCTTATTTTCACGGACTTTTTCTTCATCTTTAATATCTCTAAATAGTCCTCCTCATGTATGATATTAAAACAAACGCCCCTTATTCTAATCTTTTGCCTTATGTACCTTTTTTTCACAAAGGTTTGGCAGAAAAATCAGCTTCTTAATGTCCAACATACTGAATTTTGTTGCGGGGGTCGTGCTGGCTTTGGCTCCAAACTATATCTCCATCCTTGTAATGAGGACCATCTTAGGCTTTGGAGTCAAAGGAGGCTGGATGGCTACATATGTGCTGCGTAATGACAAATTTTAATCTTACAAGAACTCAGTTTTCTCTCACACATCAGATGAAGTACACCTGCTGTACCTAAGCTAATCTGCCTATCAGTCACAGAGATCGTTGGGGTGGAGTACAGACGAACGGTGGGAATATTATTCCAGATGTTCTTCAGTGTTGGAAACCTCATCCTCCCTCTTCTTGCCTACTTTGTCACTGACTGGCGTTGGCTTCAAGTTGTCATCTGTGCACCCTACATCTTCTTCCTGTTCTATTACTGGTGAGTTATTTTTTCCAGTTCTGTACCTTTTACAGGAGTTTTTCTTTGCTTTTTGTTACAGTGTCCCATTATTGTTATGGAAAGACTATTTTTGTGCCCGGCTTGGCGGAGGGTGGCACACTCCGTGCAGTGGTATTTTCATCTGGCGGAGCCCTGCGCACAGCCAGTTTGGTATTTTTGTAGACTGAGGTGCACCGAGGTCCCCCAAGCTGGGCATGGTGGCGCGGTAGTGGGAGGTGTCGACAGAATCGGCTGGCGCAGTGACATTTTCGGGGACGCCGTTGGAGTAGAAAGTGCGCTGAAAGCTCGCCGATTCGAACATGGTCAGCTTTCAGCGTAGGCGGAGCGCAGCTGGTCTAGTGGTATTCTAGTAGACCGGCGGCGTAGTGCCCACGTTACCGATACCTCACCACCAGGTTTAAACAATGTCAGGCACATTTCAATTCAAGAAATTATCAACAACAACCAATATTCTGAGTCAGCACATTTAGATCTATATAGATATATTCTGATCTATATCTGATCTGATGAGCGCGTTTGGCACGTGTTTGGACACACAACCTGACCGAATCTACACAGCTGAAACCGCATTAAATTAAATATCTAGTAAATAAACACACATGATGAAGTTAACAAGATATGTAATTCGTCTCCCTCCTTTTTCTATCTTCCTCTTATTTCTCGCACAGCTCGACCTGGACATGTCTCCGTGTCCTCTCCCTGTCCTGCTGCTGCGGCGGCTAACCAGATGATTTGTTTCAGTGATCAGATGAGTTATTTACTTTAAGCCTACATATTAGGAATATTATAATATTCAGTTTTGTGAGGCAAATTTATTTTATATGCCAACATCTATGAAAGAAAGAGCCAGGCCACGGAGTGCGATGCGTCATTTACACACAGATGGTTCCGATTTTAATGCAATATTTGGAGTTTATGTTGTGATCTGTGCGCTCAACCCACCTTTGTGACGTGAGGTTCGAATGTGTGCAACTTTATGTGAGTGTCTTTATTTGTGGAAAAGGGTGTTTGTCTTACCGGTGGGTACAACATTACGCACACCAAATCCCTCTTTGCTTATAGGAGATAGTGTGCAGGACACCCTCTGCAGCGCTTACAGCGACTCTTGATACAGGGGCTGCCTTCTGTCGCCATCGTGTGGCATTGCTGTCTTCACACATCTCTTGATCTCTTCAACTACTTCACAAAATTGTAATATGCCTTGTCGGTGGTGGATTTAAAGGTGAGGAGAGGAGCTAATGTGATTGGTTAAATCCACTCTACACCTTATCCCCTCCCTCATCCCCTTCCGCAACTTACGCCGCTGGGAGGAGCTGAGTTAGGGAGGGGGGATACTTATGTCGGGCTGCGCCACTCACCAAAATACCAAACTGTGCTCGGGCACGCCTTGTTGGCGCAGCGGAACTGACTTACGCTGTGCCTGCGCCACACCATAGGCGAGGCACGAAAATAGAGCCCAAAGAGCCCAAACCTCTATTTATTAGTTAGACTTGTGGGTTATGAGACCACCATCTTTTATGTTGCTGCTGGTAGTAATAGGTAATAAGTATAACCTTAAACCAACTCATTACGTTACGTGATGTTACATCACGCTATGCTATGCTACTTTATGTTACACTGCATTTTTTATCACACCACTTTGTTACGCTACTTTATGTTTCTTCATGTAATATAACATGACGTTATGTTGTCTGAAGTTATGTCACATCACATCATGTTACACATTGTTACGAAAGAAACAATTTAATATGATAGAATATGATACAATTCAATTTGATAGCATAGGATATTATATAACATGATATGATACAATACCATGCACTACAATATGATACAGTAGCAGAAAATATGAAACAGCATGTTTGGATACTGTAGAGCAGGACACTACATGATACAGTACAATACTACAATACAATACTCATTAAACAATTCCACAAGATATGATTGGATTTGAACTAAATACTGTCAACACGAAACTACTTGACAGGGTATGATACAATAGAGTGTGGTCCAGACCAGCTTTATTTGTTCAGCGTCTGTATACAACATTTGTTGTGAATTGGTGCTACATAAATAAGACTGATTGATTATTTGATTAAAAATACTATTCCATTAGATAAAAGACAAAGCCATACAATACTAAAGGTGACAAAAGTTTTGCCTCTGTTTCTCTTTTTTCATGTCTCAGGTTTATTCCAGAGTCTCCGAGGTGGCTCATCTCACAGAAAAACACTGCAAAAGCTCTAGAGATCACTGAAGCTATAGCTAAAGAGAACAAGATGAAATTCTCCAAGAACTATGAGGTTAATCTTTTTTACAGTTTTCATAACATTTGAACTCTCCTGAAAGAAAATAACATTTTTGCTGTGTTATGTCGGGCACCATGGAAAAATCTGTCTAAAAAAAGCTAGATCATGATCATTTGTTTCAGACGCTGAGTGAGGACGAAGCTGACTCCCCCTCTGCCTCTTTGCTTGACCTGGTCAGAACTCCGAATATGAGAAAACACACTTTTATCCTCATGTTCAACTGGTGAGACTCTTTTTATAACCAAAAACTTGTCTTCTAAAACCAGCCCTTAAACATCTGAGATATTGATGATCTTGCTCCCATCTGTACAGGTTTACAAGTGCTGTGGTTTATCAAGGCCTCATCATGCGAGTGGGGATAACAGGAGGAAATGTGTACATTGATTTCCTCATATCTGGCCTGGTCGAGTTCCCCGCTGCCTTTCTCATCCTCTTAACCATTGAACGGGTCGGCCGACGTCTTCCCTTTTCCTTGGCTAACATCGTAGCCGGAGCCTCTTGCCTCATCACGGCCTTCATTCCTGATAGTATGAAAAACTTCAAATGTTAATGTATTCATTTTTGTACTAAATCAATGTGATACTGAGTGCAATTTGATTCGTGCACGATTATTAAAATCAACATGGCAATAAATCTTTCCATCATTAAGATACGACATTTCCACCTACCCATAGCAGAAATCCAGATTTATCAAGATTGTACACAGTTCTGTAAATGCACCTCTCTTCCCACCCTTGCAGGTATGTTCTGGTTTAAGACGGTGGTGGCCTGTATTGGTCGGCTTGGGATTACTATGGCCTTTGAGATGGTGGTGTTTGTGAACACTGAACTCTACCCAACATTTGTCAGGTGACAACTCAACTCATCTTTCACATTTAGGACACAGAAGCTTTGAATATGCAGAGAAATGTGAATATCTGATATGAATTAATATAAACAGGAACCTGGGAGTGTCTGTTTGCTCCACACTCTGTGATGTCGGAGGCATCGTAGCGCCGTTCCTGCTCTACAGACTGGCTGTTGTCTGGCTGGAGTTGCCGCTCATCATCTTTGGTGGGTGTCTCACTTGTTGATGATAGCTGTGAAAGTGTCTGAGCTGCTTTAAATAGTAAAAATGATCTGTGTTTATGTAGCACTTTCTCTAGTCTTCTGACCACTCAAAGTGCTGGTCTCACAAACCAAGTAGCGTTTGTGGTAAATTACTAAATTGTATTTTGTAGAATCTCACAAAAGCTGTCGGTCTCACAAGATGAGTAGATTTTATGGTAAGTTGTTATGTTGGACGGTTCTAGCTGATATTGTAAACACGATTATGTGTTGTATTTGATGGCGTAGATCCCAGAGGGCCTATGACTAATCCCTAAATATTAAACGATCCTGCATTTTAAAGACACGCTTTCAGGTAAAACTGTTTCTAGATTCAGGTTAATATGGTAGTCTGCACGGGAAAAGGCTGCAAGCTTGTTAAAATTGTCTTTTTGATCTATGGATCAAAAAGCTGGTACCTCAGCTGCAGGTCATTGACTTCCTAGGACCACCATATGTAACTCATTCAGTCAGTGTTTTAAATCTTTGCTCTGTTTCATGCAGGAGTCGTCGCTTTTATTGCTGGAGGTTTGGTGTTGTTACTGCCAGAGACCAAAGGAGTGCCTCTCCCTGAGACCATTGATGATATTGAGTTTCCTAATAGGTGAGTTATCTTCTCACTCGACACAGTTAAACAAAGTTTATCCAGCAAACTGATGGGAGATGGTGGAACCAATATTTTAACCTTTTTCTTCAAGCAGAAGTGATAAAAAATGTCCAGATCCGGGGTGCCTGAATTCTATTTTTCTAACAGTCAACATCACTATTTACAATTTCCTCCTTTTTTTAAGAAAAATTATCATTAAAGAAGGAGTCGCACATGCTTTCCTTTTCACTAAAGTTTCCTTTAACGCCAAAATTACACTTTATGCAGATGATACTACTTTCTATTCAAATGAAGGATAAGCATGTATAAATAGTCTTTACTACTTATCAAATTGGCTGAAACCTCTGAAAAAGGAAGAAAAATAATTGTTACCTTGCCATGCTTTATCAGTAAGTAATTTGCTCCATATAATGTTTCAAAAGCAAGAATAATAAATCTGGAACAAAAGGCGTGAAGTGTATCGTATGGATTGACCTTATCTGCATCAATTTTCTACAAGATACATTAAATTAAGAGGTTATCTTTTGTGTTAAAGCTGTTAAATAAATAAAACATATTAAAAGATAAATAAAAATGAAGATACTCATAAAATGCAAAACTATGTCAAAATCAGATTGAATATGTTAGTTTGTTGTGAAGTTCTAAGGTATAATAAGATGTATAAAATGAATCTTTTCAAACAATAAATTTGTGTAAACCAGGAGTTTTTGAAGAGATCTAAATAAATTCTGGTGTTTGATATTCATTTTTTAAAATAAATGTTTCCGTTTTAATTTCCAGGAAAAACCAGGATCTTGCAGAGAAGCAACAAAAGACCAAACTCTTGAAATCAGAGCTGACGAACAACAAAGAAACAACAACTGTGTGACTGTGTGACTTTGTGCATGTGTTTAGATTTTAATATTTGGATGCAGTACTGTATGATATCCTCTGCAAAAACATGAAAGCTTTTTTTTTTTTTTTTACACATTTTCCATAAAGCATCACGTCCCTCATTCCTTGGTATCAAGTTTTATTTTTTAGCTCACAGAGAAAAACTTCTTTCACATTCCAACACCGACACCAGGGGGAACAAAAACCTCATTAATACAGGTTACACCAGGCTGCGAACAGATACAAATGTTTAGGTATCTTTAAATAGCACAGTGAGCCATTACTGTCTGTGCCTGCTTAGCCATCATAGATAAAGATGAATGGTTGATGTTGTTAATTGGCCTGAATTGTTCTCTGAATCCAATCTACAAATTTGGAGACTCGAGCGTAGACACCAGGTTTCATGGCGTTGGCGCATCCCAGACCCCAAGATGTCACCCCCTGCACAACAAACTTGTTCTGGGCGTTACACACGAGAGGACCACCGCTGTCACCCTGCAGAAAAAACTCGTGGTTAGGTTCAGTTACAGTACAGCAATTTACAACACTGCAGCCGCATAGATACATGCTACTCAAAGAGCCCCTCTCAGTTACTTTGTAAAATCCTCCCTTATTACCTGTTAGATTAAGGATTGTCAAATTTTGATCAAATGAACACCAGAGGCTGTTTCAGCTTAGTAGAAAACTAAGTTGCCGTAACTGTCTGAAAAACATTAATTTTGTATTTACTATCATCTGCATAAATTATGGGTCAAAACAGCCGTCCAAGGTGAAGCCAAAAGATTTGGAGCTCCCCCTGCTGACTTGCAGTAGTCATTGCAGTCTGTTTTTTCCTATGACAGCAACTACTACTGGACTTGTTGCTCTTTTAATGTCTTTACTCATTAACTTAATAGGTCACTGAGGCTGTAATAAAGCCTTATGTCTCAAAATAGGCGGAGAGAGATACACAGTCTGTATTGCACAGTCTTTTGGTCTCTATTATCTCCAAACAGCCATAAGCAGCCCTGACAGTATGGTTTTTTAAAACAGCCTTCAGTCTCCATAGTTTTTGGACCTTGTTTACCTGGCAGCTGTCTATTCCTCCCTCAATGTTTCCAGCGCACATCTCGTGGTCTTTGACTCTGCCGTTCAGGTAGGATGGACGATTGCAGATCTTGTTCTCGATCACGGGGAAACCAGCTTCTTTCAGGATGCCATCACCTCCCGTACCTGCAACACACCTCCATACAGTTATCACCATACAGGTCAGAGATATTTGGAAATTTCACAGTAAGGTTGTTTTTAGGGTATTTAAAACATGTTAAAGAGGAGACTGTGCACATACAGCCTCTTAAATCTAGCGTGCTATGTTACATATGTGGTCAAAGTACCCTAAGTATTGATTACCTTTCCTGCACAACTTTCTGTTGAACTTTCTTGTGTCCCTGTGCAACAACTCCTTATGATGTGGCAAAATATTAATTATTGTGAGATGTATTTATCAAATTTTTACCCTTTTTCTGACTCTAACACAAGCTAATACCCTGGCTACAAAGGCTGCCATCATTTACAGTACCTTGAGTTTCACCCCATCCGGTAACGTAACACTCTGTTCCACTGGGGACAGTGAAGTCCTTCTCTGGTAGACAAGCCGGCAGGACTTTGTCATTAATAAGAGCAGGACTGAAACACATATACAGAAAAATATCACTTTCAGAGCTGGTGTGAAAATTTTTAAGTACTGTTTGTCAATAATCAAACAGTTATTGGCCAAGGGAATCATATAATTATTCGATTTATTAAATTTTGCTCTCCTGAGTGCCCCCTGGAGTAAACCAAGAAATATTCGAGGGGTTTCATTGTTGTTTATAAATTTGAAGGGACATTTTATTATCCATGACAACAAATTCTTGCTGCAGCTGGTTTGCCAATTGTAGGCACAGTTTAGTGAACTGTGGGTACAGATTCCTGGATCATCTTGTGCTTGAGCACTTGAGTCAGTGGAGGAATCATCAGAGTGGTACTCACGTCTGCAGTTTTAGCAGAGCAATGTCAGCTCCATTGGGTCCCATCTCTATTCTCTCCAGGTTCCTTTCTTGTTTGGATGGCTCATTGGCTCTCTCTGTGTGGACACCTAGATAGACCTTATAAGCAGAAGGACGCCTGGACCTACAGGGACACATATTTGTAGACATACGTGCTTGTTATTCAACCTTTGTCAGGACAGGATTTGGTTTTTATTTATTTGTCAGTTGTTTCTCTGACCTCTCCAGGCAGTGTGCAGCAGTCAGGACCCACTGAGGGTGGATCAGAGTTCCTCCACAGAAATGAACTCCTGTACTATAAGCAGGATGGCAAGAAATGTATAAAAGTTAGGCAACACAAACACACTCAGCTGGAGTAATGTGTTTTTTTTTCTTTGGTGTTAAATGGAGATAAGGAAGTGTAGAGGAGGCCAAATTTGAAATACTGATGAGTTATTAAAAGTTCAAAGTGTGTGTGGACAGGACAGGAAAATTTGCTATTCACGCCAAAATTGTTCATGCACCATGCTTAAGACATGTTAATTGTAGCCGTTAAAATGAGCCGTTTAGAATGGGTGTGTATGTGGCTCTCAATAGCCCCGAGTGGACACTTAAGGAATTGCAGTTTTTGACACCGCCACACTAGCTTCTTATTTTAACACTGGAGGTAATGGCTTGAATATACAGGAATAAAACTAACTCTAGTGCCCTCAACGAATCTTACCATTACTTAGCTGCAATCTGGATGTAAAATTTTAGACAAATTCAGAATAAAAATGAACTTTGTGCAGAAATTGACTGTTAACTTTTCCACAAAATAACAGCTGGATATTTATGAGGATCTCAAACTGTGGCTAAGTTCTTGTTTGCCCTTGTCTTTTAAAAAAATATATATACATTTATCTCAGGCCTCTTCTTATTCTGTTGAAATATTGTGTAGTTGATGTACATACTTGGTGCGGAGGCTGATTTGCCAGGGCCATGAGTGAGCTTTAGACACGCAGCCTCCGACAATACGACCAAAACAACGCTTTGGTTTAGTGACTGGGGAGCCGCACTTCAGACCAGCTGGAAAAGAAGAAGAGCACATGAATCCAAAAAAGACATGTTTCAAACTTCTTAATTATTGACAAAATATAGTTTGAATTACCCATCAAAAATAATCAAGTCATAGTGGTACACCCGCTTTTCAGAGCATCAAATAACCCGTACAAAGCAAACTTCTGAGATACTAGTATTATGAATAAACACACTGATACAATTCAGCATAATGAGAACTAACTCTAGAGACGTAAACCATGTTTGAGGAAAACTAAAGTTTGACCCATGTCCCATCTGTCAATGTGGAGGAGGTGAGCTTTGTCAATACTGCAACCAGTCAGCAGGGGGAGCTCCAAATGTGTCAGCTTCACCTTTTTTTTTTTTACATACAATCAAAGGTTTGTTGTACTTGACTGAATTTACAGAGAATAATTAAAGGTTGAGAAACATTTTTGACACACCCATCAAAATGTTTAAGGAGATTAAAAGTCAGGCTGTCTATCATTAAGTTTACGTACAACAGTCAGGGATCTGACAGTAGTCCCATTTCTTGTTCGTGTCAGTTGTGTAGCACCAGGGTCCGTTCACGTCACCGTCTGGGTTTCTGCACATCTGACAGAAACACACAGGTTGAGAGTTACACCGATAAGCAGATTTGTATTGTCTTACTTACTCTTGCTGGTAGTTTTAAACATTTTGTGAGACTGTAACTTGTTTGTTGCTGTGTTTGCACTGATCCTTTGACACACATTAAGTCTTATTAGATAGGTTTCTCTGCTTAAACACTTACATTGCCGTCCAGACCCTTGGTAGGGTGACTCTGTGGGGTGAAGCTGTTGTGTTGGTGCGGAGTCTGAGAACTCCAGGCCTGGCATGTCACTCCCAGTATGGTGATGGAAGTTGGACCCCGGTATGTAGCCCCATTTCCAACCTTACAATCTAACACAGCAACAAAGACAAAGGATGAGGAAAAAACCTCACACATACCCTATAATGTAACAGTAACACATACTGAAACACATCAGGATTTTACCTTCTGGTGTTGGGCCTTGGGTGGGGCCAGAGGGGGGCTGGGGTTTGGGAGCTGTGGTGGGTGAAGGACTGGTGCCACATTTCTCCAGGTTGCAGTACTCCCAGCGGGTTTTGGGGTCTGTAGTGTAACACCAGGGGGCCCTGTCTCCATCAGGGTTCCTGCACAGATTCCTCCTGAGGTCCCTGTTGAGAAGAAAAAACAAAAAACTTTAGGAGAACTGGCCTCAAAATAGTATGTCAACAACATTTATTCATTTTGTGTTGATTCTGACATTACCTCAAATTTTCCTAAATCAAGTTAAAATATAAATATTTTGATGCTCACGCGTTAGGGAAGGCCTGTGGAGTTTTTGCATGTCTGTGAGGAGTCATGGAGCTCCAGGCCTGACATTTCTTCCCACTGATGGTTTCCGAAGTTATCCCACGATAACTGGAGCCATTCCCCTCATAGCAGTCTTCTTCCTCTGGGGGAATAACAGCGTCATCTGCAATAAGAGATAAAAAAAAAAAAGTAGGCTAAATCCTAGATGCACTTTCAAACATCTATCACAGTTTCCAATAATTCTTTTACATTTGAACTCAATAAAAGGCAGGACAGCAATCTTTACATTTTGTATACACTAGTAAGACAAATATTTTTTAAATTCATCGGTCATATGGGTACAAGTGTTGTAATTATTTAACCCATCATAATGCTTGCTAATAGTCTAAATATGTCTCTCTCTCAGGTGATCAGTGTCACACCTGGTTCAGCGCCGCAGCTGGGCACTCTGCAGTATTCCCAGCGGGTCTCAGAGTCTGTTGTGTAACACCAGGGCATCCTCTCATTGTCAGGGTTTCTGCAGTAGTTGTTGTCTAGGCCCCTGAAGAAAAAAAACAAAAACAAAAAGACCAGCAGGTCGTAAATCTAAACATTTGCGGAAAACAACAATAAATTTTCTTTGTGTAAATAAGGACAAATTGAGATTGTTACTTGAATGCAATTTGCAGGGATGCAAATTTGCGTCTGCAGTTCCTTTACTTTTTGTTGTTATGCAAAATACTAAATCACAAGTCTGGTATTGCACAGGTCTAATAAAGTGGTTCCTACTCAAGGAAAAAGGTTTGTTTTTGTGGTCGTGCGATCTTTACTTGCAGGGGTAGTTGTCTGGTGTGCGGTTGTGTTTGTGCGGCGTCTGAGCGGACCAGCTCTGGCATGTTTTCCCTGACTCTGTCACAGCAATCGTGCCTCTGTAAGCTCCACCTTCACCTGTTGCACAGGTCATCTCTGGGATGATGGTAGGGGGCTCAGATGCTGAGAACAGAAGCAAAAAGAGATGGATCCAAGAAGTCAGAGGAAAAGAAACAAGTTATGATGTTAACAAAGTGTTTTGTTTCTTTATTTTTGCACGTACATTTCCATTTTTTACTTGATGTCTCATGTTAGTTTAAATTTTATTTGTAATTAAATTTAATTCTACCTAAGACCATTGGGTGGAAAATAAAGAAGGTTATATTCCAATAGGTAGTCTCCAAAAAAACGAAGTAGTTTAACGTAGTCTGTTTAATAAAGGCAGTTTCTGATGTATTTTCTTCATTCCTCAGCCCAACTGTGATGGTCCAGCAGCAAGAATCAGCCAACATTATACTCCCCTCTTTGGAAACATGATCCAGTGACTGAATTTAGAGGTCTGAATAAAGGGTGAGTACGTTGCTCAGATGTGTACTGACCACAGCGGGGTATGGAGCAAAAGTCCCATCGTTTGGACGGGCTGGTGGTGAAGCACCAGGGTCTGGGGTCACCGTCTGGGTTTCTGCAGTAGTTCTCTTCAAGATATTTCTCTGGAAGTCTAAAGAAAACAAAAAAAGCATTTCTAAGTTGTGTTCTCATTTATTTATTACCAGGGTCATTTTGATTAATATCATCGTGCAAATCCTGTTTGCGGCTTCTGGGGTCTTACGCGCTCGGGTTGTAGCCATGGTTGTGTGGTTTCTGGGAGTCCCAGCGTTGGCAGGTGTAGCCAGTTTCAGTGGTGGAGACTTTCCCCCTGTAGTCCTCACCGCTGCACTGTATACAATCCTCTGTAAAAGACAGAAACAACACATCACACAACCTTTTTGTATTGGTATTCCTCTTATGTCGCCATAAAAGCATAGCACATGTGCTTACAGTTTCTGTTCAGTGTCTCTCCTCTTGGGGGACTTGTTTTTGTCTTGTATCAGTAAGTTGGTTGTCTTATTTTCTTGGCTACATTTGCTGTGCTTTCCTCCTAAGTCAGTTTGCATCCTGACTGGGGGTTGCTCCCCACCCTGTGTTTGTGTCTGCCTGTCTTCAGCGTGATGACTGGTTGTAAATATTGAACATGCTTTGATCACCTTGAATCAGGACAGCCTTGATCGTCTTCCAGGTGGGTCAGAGGAAATAAATTACATATAGCATACCTCACACCACAGGAAATTGTGGCAAGACAATGTCTAGATCCATCAGATAATCTGGCCTTGGCTTGGCTAGATAATGGTTCTAGGATGACAGATTGCAGCTCCTCTTTTGGGGAGAGGGGGCTGTCTACAAAACTGATGCACGAAAATGTACGGATTAAAGAAAAACTTCTAAATGTATTTATTCGACTTTTTCATTTTTACCTGCACAGCTCTGTACATTGCAGTGTTCCCAGCGTGTGTTTGAGTCTGTGGTGTAGCACCAGGGTCCCCCTTCATCTCCATCAGGGTTTCTACAGAAGTTAGACTCCAAGTCTGCTCTTGGGTGGGTCTCGGGTGTGAAACTGCCAAAAAACACATCATAAATGTCTATGCGTATGTGTACAGAGTGTAAAACTATTCATATTAAAGCATTATGATAAGCGAATACACACTTTGGCTTGTGTGGGAAACTGGCTTCCCATCTCTGGCATATCTTTCCAGTTTTTGTTTTGGATTTTGTTCCTCTGTAATCTGTTCCAACCCCATTTACACACTCCAGGAGGTATCCTGGAAAAGGCAGAAAACAAGATATTGCAGTATAAAACAATGACAGTAATTTCCTGGTGAACATCACGTATGGCTAACTAACCCACTAAATTTAAGTTATGTATGTACACTAGGGGTGGGAGAAAAAATCGATTCACATAAGTATCCCAATTTTTAAATTGATTTATTTGTTCAAAAATTGATTTATTTGTTCAAAAATTGATTTATTTGTTCAAAAATTGATTTTTTGTTCAAATGTAAGAATAAATCTTAAAAACTGACTTATATGTGATGTTTAATTTTTGGGGAAATATTGTTCCTGGAATAGTCAGTAGACAATCATAATCATTCAACTGTTTCATTGGTGTTACAAATGCAGACTAAAAATCGAAAAAATTAACAATGTCGTAGAATCGCAATTTAAATCGAATCGGCATCCAAAAAATCTTAGAAGAATCAAATCGGGAGAAAAGCATATCGTCCCAGCCATAATGTACAGGTGCACACTGAAAATAGCACTAAAACAACTTCAGCTGCTCATAAACTACAACAGTATTTACACTATTGTAGACGTCCAAGTATGACTGAAAACTGGTGAGATGGGCAAAAGGACTATCATGTTAGCAGGGGTGAAAGTAGGATAAGGTTCTTGCAGGTACTGTAGCCGTAGGCTTTGTACAAGAGGAGCACACTCAGGTATAATGAGGTGCTGACTCGGATGCCACAGTATCATCATCAGCTGCATCCCTCTTTCTCTTGAACATAAAATCAAATTTTCTCTGCATTTTGATTTATTTCTACATTAAGATTGAAGCAGCTCTTTAAAAGTTCCCTCCCTCCGCAAAAGGCGTAGGGCGGGCCCCAGTGCCTAGGCAACCAGCGTCCAATCAAAAGTGTGCACTGAGCGCTCCCACTTCTGGAATTTGTCTGTTTGCGGAAGCAAATACGACTCACTCACAAGCAGCATGGTCCTGTCAGATTATTACGGTTACACCGCAAAATGCAGACTGATGTTTGGCAACACGGTAAGCAGCAGCCTAGCCTACATATATTGCAGGGGTGAAAGTTTGTGTACTGTTGCGTACCGGCTGTAAACTGCTGTTTATGTCTCCCTGGTACGGCGTACCGCTACGTACAAACTTACTTTCACCCAGTGCTGGGCGATATGGAAAAAAATGTATATCACGATATGGATCATTTTATATCACGATAACGATATATATCACGATATAGCTATGGTATGCTTTCAGTTCTATGAAAAATTTAAGTGTATACAGCTGCACTAGTACAGTACCAGTACAAGACCAGCACTTAAAACTAGAAAAATGTATAAATAAATACGTGGCTGAAGTGCGTTCATGTCTGTGCTCACCCAAAGTTATGTAACACTTACAGAAAACGCTGATAGTGTGAGCCGAAGCACTCCATAATAATAATAATAATAATAATAAATTTAATTTGTAATGCACTTTACATTTACAAAAAATCTCAAAGTGCTACAGTACACAGTAAAAAAAGAGCAGCAACAATAAAAAAAAGCAATAGAATGACAGTCACAGATTAGCATAAAAAAGAATTAAAAAAAAATAAAATATATAGAGTTGCAATGTAAGAGGCAAGGTAGTAAAAGCATAAAGCATAGAGGAAAACTAACCAAAGGCTTTATTAAAAAGGTAGGTCTTTAGGGCTCTTTTGAAGAGGTTGTTCACACTGCTAGATGTTTCTCCTCCAAAGCTGCTCTCTGCCTCCATCATTGTTTACTTTACTCTTGAAGCACGTAGCAAGACCCGAGCATGAATCCGAGCGCTTTATTCGCCTATCAGGGGCAGACAGGTACGGTGATTGATTCGCCACGACTCCAGAAATGATTGAAAAACTACAGAATGTCACAAAATTACGTTTCCTCGCTGCTGGCTTGAAGGGTAGAAATGCGCAGCCGCGCTCCCAGCTGACAGGAAGTCAAACCGCTGTTGTAGTTCTTTTGTGTTGCTAGCGCGGTCAAGAGTGTTTACTCTCACTGAGAGATGACTACAAAAATGGACGCACCTGTTCATCTGGTTGTTAAACACGGCTGAAAAAGATCATCTTTTCATGCTGTTCCCGCTCCTGCCCACTCCCGTTGCTTTTTTCCCCGTCCCGTCCCGATCAAGAGATTAATAAAAAAAATGACTCCCATCCCGCGGGAATCACGTGACCCACGGGAATTCCCGAAAAAAGTCATCCTCCACAGGGAAGGTCCCGGAGCAGATGAAACAGGTGCCGGAGCGGCTGAAATAGGTCCCGGATCCCGCTCCGACTTGCTCCGGCACAAATTAAGCACTGCTTACAATGATCCCCTCACGTGTGTAACCCAGGTAACCCGCAACGGCGGGAGACGCTGGACATAAAGAGGGCACGTAAAGCGGCGTCATGTCGCAAAATCGAAAGAGAAATGCAAGCCTACATGTCAACGCATCCTTTTCTTTGTAAGAAAATATTGTTTTCTTTCCCGTTCGACACCAAATACACTTACTGAATGTGTAATTATTGTTGTTGTTTCTATGAATCATCTGATGGCACAAGCTCTACGGATTAAATACAACCTATCGCCCGAAACGATAAGAATAAAAATGGCACGATAGACATTTTCTATCGTGCCAACGATATATATCGTCCTATCGCCCAGCACTACTTTCACCCCTGCATGTTGGAAGAAGAACACAGGACTGACCATTTTTTTCATACAAAACTGCGCTGGTTCTGCGTAGGATGGTCTCTACTTTGGAGTTTGCTCCTGCTGTCCAACACTCCTGGTCCTTTTCAATGTACATGAAAGCTCTGTGAAAACAGAGTTTATTACTTAGCACAGTATGCTTAACCTTGAGTATGATATTTATATTGCGTCAAGAACAAATGCAAAATGACTTACCTGCATGTAAAAGCCGTCTCAACTTCACATTTGGCGGCACAGTCAGCTGCAGTGTTTACTGAGTATTGTCTTTTATGCAGGGCAAGGATCCACGCACCACCAGTGCGGGTGTATCCGTCCACCTCAATCCCACATACTGAAATCAGGAATAGATGAACAGGTAAGTGTCTGAATTATGAAATCTTAGTTATCGTAAACGCATTAAAAAATAACATTTATAGCTCCAGACTTATTCTGGTCTTATGGTTTTAAATCAATCAACAAGAAGGTCAAACGAGGGATAAGGAAAGTAAATGCGATAAACCCATTCAAAGTTCATAAATTCATGTATAAAGCTGTTACATAGGGATTGAAATCGTTTTCTCAAATATTACAAATTGTAAAAAAGAAAACAAATATATAGGCATGTGAAGTGTAATAAAAATGAACAAGTATTTTAAACACTGGTGGTAACAGTTTTTAAAAGGTAAAACACAATACTTTATTAGCTAAACAGCTGGTGAACAGTCAGAGGAAAAAATTCAAATGTGTACAAATACAAATATACAGAAGTTAAGTTCATATACTATATAAATATAAACTAAGAAGTAATTAAAGTATGTGGGGCATGTTTACCGTTGTGAAAAAGCATTGACTAGACGGCAGTATATGTTGGTTCAAAACTTGTATATATCACATACACTAAAAGTGTCTGGTACCTACTTTAGATATGCAGACTACCTATGCTATAAGCACTTATGCCATGACATCATGGATGCTGGCTTCAGGACTGTGTAACAAAAAGCAGTTCAGTAGAGAACATCGTGTCCATGATTCCCAGGAAGAATGTCAAATTCCGATTCATCTGTTATTAACATTTTGGACAGTGGATGTGTGCAGTCAGGGGGTCAGTGGGTGCTTAAAAGCAGTTTTAACTGCAAAGGAGGGCCCTGCAGGAAAAACTGAGGACCAGATCAGAATTCATCATCTCCACTGTCAAATATATTCTTAGAGAGCAGTCTAAGTTACATTTTGTATATTCCTGTTCTGTGGTTTAATCATCGTTTAACCTCCCCCCACAATGCAGTTTCATCATCATTCAAAAGATTCATTTACTAAAGCAATTGAAATGTAGATAAAGTTTCTGAGAGAGCTGCTATCATAGATGTCTGTCCTCTGAATGCATCAGTCTGAGGGTCTTGGACTTTGAATTGATGGCACAAAGATTAACATGTGAACTGATGACCCTGCAAACCACAGAAGAGGCAGCAAATACAGTACAGTACCATCTGAGGCTTTTATCCCAGATTAAACTGTCTTATTGATCAGAGAGTTCGAGAGCTGTACATGCGTTTATTTCTATCTGTAATGGACTCGCTCAAAGAGTTAGAGAAATGTTGCTGCTGTGCATGAACACATGAGCCCTTTTCTTGCTTTCCTAAACTGACTCTTTGTTCATTTTATGACTCTCATTGCTGGATTTTAGATCTGTAATTATGTACACTGACTCAAAGTCTGCTGATGAGCTGAAGTGCTTTTGTTCTTGGTCCTCAGATCAGTAGAATTGTTCTCTTAGTAGAAGTTTTACCTTAACCCCATGTTTAAAGTTACAGAGGCCTCAAAGTTTTGTTGTAACTTCAAAAAGAGATGACCAACTTTTAGTTTAACTGGTCTGCAGTTAATATACTCACACAGGTAGGCACAGTTAAATTGTTGAATTGTTTTTGGAAGCTGTATCAAGTCCTCCAAATTGACTGCAAGTCTCTGTAATTTACTCATAATTTCCTTCTTGTATGTTCATTAAATAATTAAAAATAGGATTAATTATACGCTGTTGTACTTTCTTATATTCTCAAGCATTAGTGTAAAAACAACAACTTTAAATCATAGCTTAAAGACGTTGTTATTTCTTACCAGTGCCGATCAGGGCCCCCAGAAGGAAAGCTGTTCTGTACAGGTCCATGTTAAGGCCCCTTTTGCTAACAGCTCATAGTCGACTTCCCTGCAGAGGTTCCTCCTGGTATATTATTGGGCTCCTTTTGGCCTGTTGGGGAACAAACAGAACAGCTCAATCATTAGTCAATCATTATCCTGACAAGGACGGTAAAAGAGCAACAGGTCAAAAACCTTTCTCCCATTAAAAAAGAACATTTCATTTTGGATCAACTTTGCAATGTCACAGATTCAGGTTCATTGTTCCCGTTTTGTGTTCAATAGTAATGACGTGGTTATTATTTTTTTGGAGGCTGTTTCATTCTTACTTTTTTCCACCCCTGGAGTAAAAGACTGTTGAGCCTCTTAAACTTCTTTCCCTCTGCAAGAACTGATTTTGTAGATGTGCCTCCCTATAAACTTTGACCTTTCTTGTTGTCATGCGTCATTTACCGTTATCAAGATGCCACTTTGTATCTTGATCACTTCACTGTTCAGTTTGTGCAGCATTTGTGGTTTGTGGATCCTGTGAGGTTGTCTTTAAGGTCTTGCTTGTTCCTGTGTTATTTTGTTTTGATATAAAACATTTTCAATCCTCATTCAGATGGTGATTGCTATGTGCTCTACATCAAATCAATATATTTAGTTAATCTTCAGCGGAAAGGGACCAATGTCCTCAACTGCAAACATGTGATTACAAAACAATTTACTTTAGACTCTTCAGTTTGTGTAGGAGTAACTTTGTTCGCTTTCGCAAAACAGTGCCACAGTTTCTAAGGAAAAGAAAGCTTTAAGCCACTTCCTATAAAATTTCAAATAAATGTTTTCAAGAAAAAAACCTATAACAGCTATAAAGGAAATGAAGTGTTCATAGCACTTCAATGTCAGGGTTCATTCGTAACACATTTTTCCTGATGACATTTAGGCCCATAACTGGCAGTTTTTTTCCACTTCTGCCTCTCTGTGTGACTGAGACGACCTGTCAGCATCTCATCCTGATGGCACGAAATTCAATCTATGTATATGATGAGCTGGATGGAAGGGAAAACTCTTTACCTGTACACATTAAGTCAAACTTACCTCTAGGGAGCAAAAAGCAGCTTGTTCAGATGGAGAAAAAAAAAACTCTAGTGTGTAGCAGCTTCGCCTGTTTTTGCTGAGGTTGAGCCACACAGATAAAACCTTGAACAATTGTAGAAAATGTCATTTCAAAGTTTAAGAACAGTACAAGTATTTTATTGTTTACATCATTCAGAGGTCTAATTAAGTGGAACTGCTAAAAAGTTTGAAATGCTGCACTTCTGAAAACAGATGATGAAGTTTTCACTTCAGCTGTACAAAGCCTTTAGTGCCAGTATTTGTGAATAAGATGTTTAGGCAAGAGAAAGGGGCATAAACGATGACAAATGAATGTGTAACAGCTGATTCAGATGTATGCAAACAACACCAGTGCACAGTGATGCTGTTTGCCTTGCAGCACAGTTTCTGTGTATTTAGCTCGTATGTGCACAGGGTTGGCTCACACCAAAGCCGTGTCATCCATTTGTGAATCATTATTGAATTATTTGATCCTATATTCCTGTATTAAAACCATATGCAACAACTTTGTGAAATAATATCCAATCTTTAATTTTATAGTATTTAACATGCCTTGAATATTAAAAAGAAGGAAGTGGTTCCAGTGTTTTAAAATGACACGATGCCATGAAACCAAGTCTTTTGAGCCTCTACTGGAAAAGTAGGACTTCTGTTATAACATAGGCAAGATTATGAGCAAAAACAAATCCCAAAATAATAAAACAAACAAACAAAAAAGTGAGGCTACTGCCATTTATATTGAGCTCCTGTTGCTGAATGTGGGCGAATGTGAATCCGTAATACTCCTAAATAGGCTGCAGGAGGTGCTATTGATCACCAATTTTTAAGAGAGCCGAACACCTTTAGACGAGTCCATAACTGTTTAAGTTTACAACAGGGGAGCATAAGATAAAAGAGGCAAAATTCTTGTCAAACTTTAAAAAAGGTTTGGATAGACTTAAAGTAGAGCAGAGTGGATGGTTGTGCACTCTATAGACATGGAACTAGGTTTGTGTTTGTGAATGACTGAGTAAAAAGCATCAGTGAGAAGGTGAAGGGGAAGAGAGTGGTTGTTGTGTGCAAAAGACTTTGTATCAGCAGATGTTTTTGCAGGTAAAAAATAGACATCACAGCAGTTTCCTGTCCTTAAAGCCTCCATTACCTCTGGAGTTCACCCACAGTGAGGGAGCATACTAATCTAGAACTGGCTGCTTGATATTAACATATACTGCCATTTCTAGAAGATGTACTTCCTTGACTTTTAGAGATCAGCCTCAGGTGGACACAAGCAGATCTGCAGCTTCCACAGGCCGAGGCTCTAGCTTGCTCTTGACTCTCATTTTGGCCTCCTATCTGACACTTTGTGTGGCGTCTTTAGGATGTTCCAGGTCTATTTCTGATTTAAAAACATAAAAACACAATCTTCTTCTCATTCTATTATTATGAAACTTTTAGACAAGTTCATGGTGTGTGGTTGGCTTTTAATTCCTCTTTCAGTATCATCAACGAAAGTGTTTTCTCATTCTCGGTGTGTTAATCATATTTTAACACATATTGGATTTTTTTTGTTTGTTTTTTTGCCTTCATTTGGAAGAAGGCTCTCATTTGAAAGGTGTTTTTTTTTTTTGTTCGTTTGACTGCGACTTTTCTCGTGCAGAGAATGAACAGAATAGTTGAGCAGAAGTCAAGGATGAGACGGTGTTAAGAATCTAAATGAAGAACTACTCATAATGACACCCATAGTTTCAATCAACTTTTTTTCTTCTTATAGGTCAAATAATGAATCGCTTTGCCACAATAGTCTTTGAATGTTTAATTTGAGTCATTTGCTGAGGCATCAGTAACTTAACACTTTCAATGTAGCTTCTTTAAAGCTTGTTAATGAAAAGAGTCCACATTCTCTGTATGAAACTGTTTTAACTGATACTCCATCACTGCCGATATGATGAAGATGTGTATGTGTTTGAATGTTCTCTTTTAATTTGTCTGAAACTATGTGTTTGCTGTCATTCTTGGCCGGGTCTCCTTTGAAAAGGAGATCTCTGATCTCAATGAGACTAACCTGGTCAAATATCGGTACATAAAATAAAATAACATAAAATTTGGGTTTTGTACTTATGTATTTTTTCTTTTTTCAAAGGTCAGGCACTGACAATCTGTCTTTTGAAAGTGAAAATCATGATTTGATTAATGTCTCAGAAAAGAAACAAGAAATATGCGAGTAAAAGGGAATTCTGAATGAGCTTTTTTTCTTTTCCATTCAAAGCGTGTTAAAGGAGTTACACCGGTGTCCTTGGGAGATAAAAGATACTTTCCAAAACTTTAATCAAGCAAGCATGCAAAGCATGAGAAGAACTTTGAAAAACTCTGTTAAGCCGTGAAATAAACTTCAAATCTTGTTAAAAGTTTGATCAGCTAGGGTTCATCCACTCTTAATGCTGGATGTGTGACAATACACTCAACCCTCGATATGAGTCAGGATGCAGGGTTCAGGATACGAGTAAGTCTTGATTTTTTTAATGGATGTACGTGACTCTGTCTATGTTTAAGCTTAAAAGAGGAGATTTCTTCTTAACACTTCAACTGTGATCCTTTAATTTCCACTTATTGCCCAGCTTTCTTACTCATTACCAGGCTGTGTTTAATGCCTGATTCTGATTGATCGAAACACTATGTGGACATCTGTTAGCCATGTCAAATAGGGGTTGACTGAGGTAGCACTTCTTATTGGCAGTTCATGAGACTAATATTAAGGGAGACAAAGTGGTGCAAGAAAATAGACCCAGATGGAAGGACACACCAGCGATGGAGCCAAAGTAGTACAGCTTTTAATTGATTTATTAATTTTCTTAGCCATCTATATCGTACAACTCTGGAACAGATTATTAACCAAGAGTTGAATCCCAGCCCCTTTAATCAGCTGATAACTGGTCTATCCTGGACTTTTTAAAACCAGGAAAGCAAATTCAAAGTGTTCTCCAGACATTAATGGCAGCCTATTAACCGCACCGAAAATTAAAGAGGGGGTATCGTGCTTTTTTCTCAGACTCTACATTTTCTATCTGATTCCCCTTTAATATCTTTACTTAATTTTCAGATCAGCCTCCATCTAAAACGCTTTGTTGTAGCTGCTGTCTCTGTAAGGCCTAACCCTGAAGGCCCTAACCCTAATCCCCCCATTACATTTTTTGTTGCAAATGTGGGAAAAAAATCATACCAGCCATTTAAAACTATACCAAATGGGTAAATCATCCTTGCGTCTGCATTGCTACAGAAACAGCCTAAAGGCAAAAAAAATAATGATGCCAAGGCAGACTCGTGAAAATAACAAAAAGTGCAGTGAATAGAGAGATAGGCCTGTAAAAGACTCACAGTGTCCAGTTTCCTGCATACTTGTTCTTATTGATAAGAATTAGCATGTTCCTCATGGTTCATTTGAAAGTGCAACCAAGCTGCAGTAAGTTTGGCGCCAAAAACTATATGGTTGATGTTGCTGGCATGCATGCTTTGAACTTAAGGTACCATCCAATTGTCAAGTGGTAATGAGACCACATGTTATTCAACAAAGAGTGGGTGTTAGTTTGATTCAGTTTGATTGTGGTATGTTGGTCCTCTGTTTTTTTGGCCTTACTTTGTTGTGTTTGTTGTGTTTCCGTCTTCAATCAGCTTATCCCATGACAATCTTCCTAGCTAATTAGGCAAAGTGAAATTACTCAACGCACGTCACATCAATCTGAGAAAATAATGTTTTTATTCTCAGTCGGTAGGAACCAGAGGAATCTTTCATAACTTATAAAAATCATGACATAATGTTGCCAACCCACTTTAGGATTTACTATTAACATCACTTTTTTATCATTTCAGACAAAAGCAGCGCAGACACGAACCAGAAGGGGGATAGCTGTTTGAAAACGCGGCTTCTTTCTATTTTTCACGCCTGTGTGCAATACTTGTAAAGCCCATGGGTACACAAAGCATAAAATACCTGTAGTGTGTGTCATTTTAGAGATGTGTGCTAAATCACACATCCCTCCAAACCTCAGTACTGTACAATGGTCCAGTCAAGGGCAAGTCACTCAAGCAATGCTTTAATCAAAGGAAAAATGCTTTCAATTTGGGGAACAATGTTTTAAAAAAAGGGTTGGACAGTTTGCTGTAGTGGACTTGAGCATTCTGCATCATTTTTCTATCCATAGAGATTGTAATTGAAAACACACAAAAAGCTGCACTCTGAGGGAGAAATACATGAGGCCTTTCTCGCCTGTAATTCAGAATGACCATGACAGGTTTCTTATTTAAAAGGCCTCGGACTGATCAGAAGAAAAAACATCAGATTTGAATACACAGCCTGGTGGTGAAACTCTGGTTCATTGTGTCATAGATATGTAGATGTTTTAATCTTTTACAAAAAGCTCATGATAACAAAACTCAAGAGAACATAATCACAGAAAGAGATCAAAGCTGAGTTCAGATCAAACGCGTTTGACACAGAGGGAAAACT